TGATTTTCATCCAAGTATGGAGATCGACCATAAATAAGCCAGCAGTTACCATCGCTGATTCTGAAGCAAGTTGGCGAAAGTTCGCAAAGTTTGTTGATCTCTCGTGATCTCTCCACCATAAATCCATCCGTGCCCCCAGTAAAGTAGTGTAACTATGTGTACCCTCTGGTAAACTGTTACATAGCTATGGTTTAAATCACCATGCTATTAATGGGAAAACTCACTATTTCAATGGCCATTTTCAATAGCTATGTTAGTCATAACCAGAGGGTAACTATGTGTAACTTAGGTGAGGACTACCACCTTGATGCCGAAGCGGCTAGTTTTTTAAAGGAAGCAGGAGGTTTTTGAGCCCTAGACTGGCAGAACTACGTACCTTCAAATGGGTCCCCGGGTTAGATAGTCGATTAATACCCAAAAGATAGTGGTTTTAGATGGTTTTAGATGGTTTTAGTAGGGAAAACATTGGGAAAATGATGATAATCCATAAAACTTTTTAGGGGTATCCCCATTTTCAGACAAACCCAGATCAAGATAGATTAGATCAAGTGTTGTTGATGCTTTATTAAAGTTGCTCAAAAAAAATGCAAAAGAGAAATAGATTGATTTAATATGTATATATATATATAACTATATGTACAGTGCCTATGGTTCATCTTTCCCCAAAGCGGTGCATGTGGTCTGCCCACTTCAGGAACAGTGGGCAGACAAAAACTGGAGCGGAGGCTATGGTGCCCCAACCGGCCTCTTGGATCTGATCGTGGGAGATTCTCACAGCGAGCTTAACTTTGGGGAAAGATGAACCATAGGCACTGTACATATAGTTAAATATATATATATATAACTTATAACTATAACTTATAACATATATATATATGTAAATATGTTTGTATATATATATATACATATATATTTGTGTGTGTGTGTTTGGTTGAGTCTCTTCATTGGACTCAAGTTATTGTTTTGGAATGTATTTTGAAGTACCAACGGGAGAAGGCCACCAGTTTTGAATCCCCTAGGAGAGCTGGTGATCTCTGCTAATATGAGCGAGTTAGTTCACCGCTTGGTAAGTTGGTTTTTGATGGTTTGTTGCCCATGTTGAATGATGTGAATTATTATTTCGGATGTTTTATGATGTTTTATGATGCTGTAATATGTATTTGGGCTAGCAACATGGTCAACAGGTCGGATTCGAAATGGCCATGGCGTGCGCCGGTCGTTCGGTCTATGACGGGAAAGTATTAAACCTTTAAATAGGAAGACTTTGGATGAATAGAAACCAAAGATTTGAATTTACCCTCTGGTAATGACTAACATAGCTAGTTTGCTATAGAAAATCACCTTCTTTAAGAACGGTAAATTATCTACTTCTATGGGCCATGGCTTCCATAGCGAACTGTTCGTTTACCAGAGGGTATACAAATCCTAGGTGTAGGGTTGAACATGGAGTATCCAGAGATGTCAACGTTCTGGAGCCTCGCACTGCCTTGGGTAAGAGGTAAAAAAAAGACATGAAATCCAAGAAGTGCAGGAATCTGTGCCAGTAACGTAACAAATTTATAATGGTACAAGTTTTATATACCCTCTGGTTATTTACCATAGCCATGGTATAGATGGCCCATTTATAGATGGTTTACCTATTAATAGCATGGTGATGTTCCATGGCGAACTGTTAAATAACCAGATGGTATACATGGAACACTCATTTCTATCTAATTTATGAACGTTTGTTGGTTGAATTCCCAATATTTTCTCACCATTGTTCTCGCCATAGCCATTGATACTCTCCACATCTCTCAATTGAATCGAACAGTGGCTGCTAAACCCCTGTTGGTTGATTATCACTTCAGGGATTACACTAATTAATGATCGGTTTATTATTGGTGGTTAATTGTCATTATAATAACCACCCATAATTAACCGCCAATAATAATGATTGGGGGTTAATTGCCATTATAATAACCCCAGTTAATTGTCTATTATTATTGGGGGTTTATGCCAATTCTACTGATTGGGGTTGCAAGATGAGATTCATTTTTTGGATGTTTGAGGATGATCATCATCCATGTGGGAATCCCGTTACCGTTACCATCCAGTACAAACGGGAATATTATAGAATGAGAAACGGGAAGTAAGTAGGTTCACATTCTATTCACCATCCATACCATTCCCATAGGATCCATGGTGCTGCTATATATGGTGACATTTACCATCAATATACCCCAAATGTTAGCATATATGCCATACATGGATCCTATGGGATTGGGGGAATCCGGTTTGAGAACCTTTTCTTAATGATGATGGAAGCCCATAAAAACCCTAACCCAAGCTGATGCCAGGTGGCTATCCCCGTCCGCCTGCCGCTCCGCCTGCCGAGGGCTAGGATCTCGTGAGGAATCGTGAGGAATGTGTCCTTGTTGGTAAAGCCAATGCCACTGGGAAAAAAGATGCCTAGTGAATGTGACTTTATACTCTCATAGAATTGGATGATGGGAAAATTTACAGGAAACCCCTATATTTGATGGTAAAAACCATGGTTTCCTGTAGATTTTCCCTGAAACCAATCCATTGATACTCACAGTCTTCTGTTTTGATTTCTTTTCAGACTTGCTTTTGTTTATTCTGCTCCTGCTACCTGACTATTGGTTTCTTGTTTCATTTGGCTCTGTAACATATATTATATAGAACAGTATAGTAGGGGTGAAGTTAGGGCCCACATCCTTTGTGCTACATAGTTTCTCAAATGGTTTTTGCAAAGCGCCTTTCAAGAAGACCCATGGCAATCAGCAAGTTCAGTATATGTATATACTTCAACACAGCTAATGATTAGTTACATAATCAAACTAAGTCTCTATTCTAAAGCAGGTTCCCCTTCTGACATCACCATAGACTATTTCCAATGCACATGTTTAGTTTGTTGATCAGATTGGGGAACCTTTGCAAGCAAAATCAAAATATAAACTTTACAACGTCATGGGAGATTAAAGCAATTGATTGCACTTGCAAAGATGACATATGTATATATTATATACTCTATATATATATATATACCATATAATATATATGATAAATATATATATTATGTATTTATATACTATAGTATATAAATATACTACAGTATGTGAATATACTATATATACTATATGTATATATATGTACACTATACATACTATACATTATATATAATATATATATATATATACGACATGTATATATAAATACATATATATATATACAAACATATACTATATATATACATCTATACTACATATATAGTGTATATGTATATATATATATATTCGGCATTTCCAGAAAAGTGGTGAAATGGGACCTTTGCTTGACCCCTTTTCTGAATGATAAACCATGCCCAATGACTCACGAGTCGTCACGAGAAATGGTTGGTTTAAACCATCCAGATTTGTGGTTATGAATTACTGTTGTTCATAACAAATAGTTCCTTACAACGGAGTAAAAGAATAGCAATGTTGTCTTGGCATTAATTTTGAATTGTTCTCACTTGGACTTAGTACTGTTAAGTGGTTATCATTGTGATTAAGTGTACAGTAGCCCCTAGTCCAAGTATGCTAACCCCTATATACCTATGATAATCCCTATATACGCACTATTTTCTAATCCCTATATGAACCTATCTTCCCCTATGTAATCCGACTATGCCAATCCCTTTCCAAGCAGAATTGAAGTTAAGTTATTTTAAGTTCACATCTATTTTAAAGATTAACTGGTGAAAGAAATCAAATTACACTGGTTCAAATTTATGACCATTTATGAATTAAATCTATAATGTGTGGGCTTAAATTACCATAGATGGCCATGAATTGGGGTTAATTGCAGACAATTTTCGGACACACATCATGCGTGCTTTGCAGAGTGTTCCACTTTGAAGTGGACCATGGGCACATTCCTTAAAGACCTGTTGACGAACAAAATCCCGGGCACAGAAGAGAACTAGGTCACTAGGTTTATTCCTAAAGGATCCTAAAGGTCCAGTGTGTCTTAGACACGTGTTATTTGTGTATCTGGAAACGGTGATGTCGCTGTCATGGATCTTCCATCAGGAATTTCAGGGTCCGGGACGAGTAGCATCTTTACATCCAGGTCCTTTGTACAAAGATCGTCGGCCCGAATGGGCCAAACGACAGTCACGCCAAACGGCCTGCAGTCAAAACGCGTTCCGTCTGGATCTGGTTGGTCATTGATTTTCAACAACTTGTGTTCGGCCCTTTTTGATCAACTCTTCACAGGTATCAACCCAGGAAGCCGAAAAGATTGCGATTGAACAACGGGGAAACTGGGCAACTGATGTTCTAAAACCATGGGGATAAATTAGGGGACATGTTCTGACACCACATCAAATTAGTTTTATGTGTTCTAATCTTACTCGACTCGCGCATAATCACGATGCTTTTTGCAACCCCAAAAAAGATGCCTAAAAGTTACAGAAGCCTGGAAACTGTGAAAAAATAGCATCGTCTATCATCTATAGAAATTTTATAGATGGCACCATGATCTGTATAGAGTATCTGGTTGGTGGTTTGGAACAATTTTTCCCCATATATTGGGAATAATAATCCCAACTGAATCATATTTTTTCAGAGGGGTGGGTATACCACCAACCAGTCAGTGTCCCTGCACTAACTCCAGGTCAGTCAACCTGGTAACAAAGCTATGTAAAATGACCCGTTGATAAACAAATCACCATTGGAAATACCATTGGTGTTTATACATTTTTCCATTTGTTGGGAATTTCATCATCCCAAATCCCAACTGACGAACTCCATCATTTTTCATAGGAGGCTCAACCACCAACCAGGTTATTAACCATCATTAACCATATAATAACCATTAACATTAACCATCATTAAACCATATAATAACCATTAACATTAACCACTATTAACCATATAATAACCATAGAATCACCATTGGGTACCACCAGACCCATCCGGAAAAAAGGCCAAAAGGCTCAACGGCGACGCCAGGTTCCGGCGATGCAGTGGCGATGGCCTGGCCTTCGCTCACATCTTTGAACAGGACGCCGTGGGGCCGGGGGTAAAAACCATGGGAAAAACCATGGGAAAACCATGAACAAACCAAGGATTTACATCTGGTTGGTGGTTTGGAAGATTTGGATTATGTTTCCCCAATAGTTGGGATGATGATCCAATCTGACTGATTGTCATATTATTTTTCAGAGGGGTGAGTTGAAACCACCAACCAGACATGATTTTCATCATGATTGCATGATAGAATTCATGTGGTTGTGATGTTAATAAGTTAATAACCTCATTGTATATATATAATATTATATAATTATATATATAGTGTATATAATGGTTGTATCATCTAATGGTTTTCATATCATGGTTATTTTTTCTATTGCCCATGATATCGGCCCAGGCTTCAGCCCACTTGAGGCTTAGTTTCAGCCTGGCACCTGTCCGGGCGGCCGAGGTGTTTTTGTTCTTTGGAGCGGAGGGGAAGGAACTGAAACAGCTGGCTGGTTGGTGGTGACTGGAACATGGCTTAAACATATTTCCATATATTGGGAATGTCATCATCCCAACTGACGAACTCATATTTTTCGGAGGGGTAGGTATACCACCAACCAGCTGGAGATGATGGGTACAACTGGTAATTCACTGTGAAAAGAGGGTGATTTAACCATCAGAAAAGGTGACGACTTTTTTGCAACTTCTGAATGGTGCGAGAATGGACACATCATGAGAAGATCATGGGGGTTCTCTGGATGAATTTGATCATGACCGAAAACGTCACGTGACTAAACCAGCTGGAATTTTATGCTTTGTATTAATTGGGAATCATCCCCTAAAATTTTAGCCATTTTCAGGTTGGGATATGGACAATGCGGAAGTTTCATGGGGATATCATTGGGGATACCCTCTGGTAAACTAACATAACTATGGAAAATCACCATGTTCAATGGGTAAATCCACTATAAATGGCCATTTTCAATAGCTTTTTGTCAAATTACCAGAGGGTATAGACAAAGAGCGGAAGTTTCAGAAGGGGAGATCATTGGGGATATGTCATGGCTGGAAAACCGGGCACCATCTCTTGAGGATCAACCACTGGGCAATGGTTAGTGTCTCTGGTTATGACTAACGGTTCGCCATGGGATAGATGAGCCATAGAAATAGATGGTCAAAACCTGGGTTTACCGTTCTTAAAAATGGGTGGATCTTTCCGTGGCCATGTAACAAATAACCAGATGGTAGTGTTCTTGGGATGGTTAGTATATGCATTAGTCATTACCCTCTGGTAATGACTAATAATGACTCGCGAACTGGAACATCACCATCACCTAAAGAACGGAATTGTTCAACGATTCTATTAGGGCCATTGAGAAAATAGCGAAGTGTTAGATGACCGGAGGGTAGGTAATTTTTTCGGACACAGCGGTCCAATGGAGGTAGCTGGATACCCTGAAACTTATGGGGAACTTGGGATGGTTTTGGGGAACTTACCTTCACAAGCAGATGCTTTCGTTGCCATTGATTTTTGTCCATCTTTTCAAGTTGATCGGAGGTTTTCAGGACTGTATACATCTATATACTGTATACACATGCAACATGTTGGGTAACATGTTTCAATCTGGGTGCTTGATTTTGTGACTGCCAAATAGCCTGGGAATCCCCCGAATCACGCAGGGACGACTTCGAGAAATGCCGTAGATTGGACATCACGTATGGATGCCAGCTCCAGTTCATACTGCATCCATGTCTTGGAAATCAGGCCTAAGAAAGAAACCTTGAATTGCCCCTGTTAGATTTAGATCCCTTGAGTCATCGAAATTTGAGGCAAAGTTTGACCCGCAGCCATGTCCATATGGGCCTCAATGCCTGGTAAAGGCCATGGTAAATGGATGTTCCAACCCCAAATATGCTACCCCCACAGTCTGAAGCTTTTTCAAGGCGCTCCAAGGGGTACCGGAGATCCAGAAAGGTCAGGGGGCCGGATTTGACCTCGGTACTTTAGAAATAAAGAACCCACGGGTAATATCAATGGGAAATCCAGGATCCAATTGATGGAGGTACGTAAACGTACCATACTTTTGGCCATATGAATTGGGGGTATATCCCCTTACATAGCCTTTACATAGGAGTTATATATATGGTAGGTACCTCGAATCTGGATTCCTGGAATGGCCACGGGTAATACCCCAAAGGTACCTGGGATGTAACCCTGACAAGATGTCATGCATTTCTGCGGCGAGCCATGACTGGGCATTGAAGATGCAAAATCAAGCAATTCACCCGCGAAAAAGGGGAAGCAAATTGGACGAACGTGGTATGAAATGACTGGAAAATCAGGACTTTATGGTTCAACCGCTGATTTTCGATGCAACCTACGCCGAAAACTACAAGTGTAATGATGCTTTCGAGTAGAGAACCTGAGAAATTTTTGCTTTTGGCTATTCCATGCTCTTATCCTTGCGAACCATTAGTAGTGCTGAGGTTGTTCCATGGTCACTATAATGTTTGCAGCAAGACGTTGGGTGAGAAACGTTTTCCCAATGGAATTTCATATATTTCATCAGCGCCCTGAAGCACGGCTGATTATGAAGCTAGGGCATCATGGACCTAATGCATGCTAACCTTCCAAAAAGTGACTGCGCACAGGGTTTTCCAATGGTGGTAAATTCTTTCATTCAACCTGATCTGATCATCTAGAATAAGGATGAATATGTCTACCGTCCTTCTACCGGACCATGCTTTTTTGCCAGACCAGGGTCAACGCCGACATCATGGCATGATTGCTTGGCTGCCACCCCTGGAGAGACTGAAGAATGCCACACCCTGGTGAGTCAAATTGGGTTCCAAAATGGATCTGGGCGCTTTCGATTTCTTTGCCGTGCCCTTGGGATGGTGGTCTCAAGTTTTCGCATGTCTTGGAAAATCTTGGAAGCAAGCTAAATGGGCCTGCGTCCTCAACTTTGGCCCGGCCCGAGGCACAGGCGCCATTGCTGCCAACACCCCCTCCGGTGCCAGCAGGCTGGGGCGCTGTAGCATCATGATGTCCTGCCACGCTTTCCCACATAGATGTGTCTGAAAGAGGGACAAGGAAAACGTAATGCAAAAAGACATTTTATTAACGCTTAATTATTACTGTAACCCATAAGTTTATATCAATTTATTGTTTTTCTATTTTCAGCCATGTTTTTCCCCCACGGTCTTAAGCAGACAGCCTCACATCCCGGCGCCCCGGCCATCAATACACCAGCGCAGCGCCAGGCGACGCTAGCGCCTTCCTCCAGCCCTTGGTGGAAATGGTTAGTTGTGGCCATGCACCGGCGGAGGCTCCGTCAGGGGTCCTTCGAATCACGGGCGCAGCAACCTGCGAATTATCACGAGTTATCAAAATTGTGGTTTAAGCCAGCAAATGGTGATTTAATGATGAATTAAGCAACAAAAATGATGATTTAACCCAACTTAAATGGTGACTTATGGTGATGTAGTGGTGAGTCAATTTGTGAAGGTGTTCCAAATTTTGGCCACCGCCCGCCCCAAAGGTGTCTGAACAAAATTGAACATTCCCCAAATTTTCCGTGATAATAAACCAAACCCTGGGATTTGTTTGGGTTCACGCTGCACTGTCCAAACGTATTGGTGGCATGATGTTGTGCTAATGTGTGCCATGGGTTTTTCGGCGTTGTTCAATATTTCCCGTCGCGCTTGTCAAAGCAAAGAGCAAGTCACCAGAACTTATAGGAAGGAACGTGATTAAAATATTGAGTGACACCACATTAACCCTTTTGGATTTCAGCCGTGCCCGTGAGAAATGAAAACATGATAGTGTGATTTTCTATGGTTTGCATCGTTCGATGAACCTTGTCAGTGTGACTGGGCAACAACCATTTATGCGTGCTTGATTCTTGGCACTACAAACGGATACTTGGCTATAACCCGTTCAGTCACATACTGTATTTGGCCATTTTGCCATGATATTTGTTTTCAGAGCGAACCAAACCCTTTTTCAGCTAAGTAATGGCTGACATGTCGTTTGTCGAGAGCTTGAACGCTGCCCGGTGGGGTCTGGCCTTCGAAAGAGGGCCCGAGTGCCCGTGAGAGTTTCCTATTGCTCCTTTCGACATGGAGGGTCTCCCAAAGCGGGTTGCGCCGTCGATTGACCGGTCTTCGGTCGAGTTTGATCAGACTGTTTTGAAAGAGGTTATTTCTGATCGACCTCCGACTGTTGGACGATCGACTTGTGCTCCTGTTGGGAAGACTCGTGAATCCTTGGATGTAGAGCTTGCCACGGAATTCTTGGCTTTGTCTCAACTCGGCCAACGGGTCGTTATGGATGAGGTCCATAAAGCTACTCCACAGAGGGAAGCGGGGAGCGAGGTTAGAGATCGGCCGGCTGCTATGGCTCGGCATTTTTGGTTCCCGGGGTCCATTACATGGAAAGTATCTATAGTAAGTAACTAGCAGATAGAAAATTGATGATGATTCAGGATTGCCAGGTCAACAGATAGAATAGGACAAAAAGCAAAGATGTAATTGGTTGACATGAACAATTTCGTATAATGATTATGTGCATCATTTCCTGCAACTAATTCAGGTTAAAATATGTTAAAATGAACAATTTCAATGATTACGTGCATCATTTCCTACAACTAATTCATATAATTTTGCATGCCGACAGAGCTGGCATACAATCTGAACGAAACCCCACAAACTGTGTTTGTTTGCCAGCAATGCTGGCATGGAGCCTCACATAACCCCTTGTTGTGCATAATCGTAATCATGTGAAATATGTTTACTGTTTATCAAGAAAAATGTTAAATTATGTTGAAGTTCGTCCAAAAATCACCAAACCCTGGTAAAAACCACAGAACCAGCAGATATTCTTTACCCAATAGGTTGATGTTGACAACGTTTTCTTTCAGGAACAAAATGCATGTTGTTTATTCTATCTGCTGGTTATTTATGGTTATTTACTTACTACATGGTTTTCGGGTTTAGCACGAGCAAGCATGCAAGGGTTGTTGAATTTTATGATGGGCCCATATTGATCCATATTTTCACGTCATCCATATTCTCATAACATTTTTGAAATTGGCCGCAGCAATTATATTTCCAGAAGATTGATTTGTTTGAAAATTGGGGTACTTGAAAATTGGGGTACCCTGAAATTTGATGGTCGATCATTAATCTGGGTAAATTATAACGACCTCACTACGACCTCACTGGGAATCATGGTTAGTAAGGGAAATCATCCCCAAATGGGCTTAATTCAGGGTAGGGAAATATTATAATTTACCCAGATTAATTGTCCTATTCAAAATATATAATGTTTTGAATATATATGTATGTAATATATGAATAGGTTATTTTCAGACGAAACCATGTCCCATATTTCTATTTTGTTGGTGATACTATATATCCCAATTCAATCCCAGTATTTTATCCCCATCATATCCCCACCTTTGGAAAAATCACCGTTAAATCCTAAAATGCATTTTGTTATCCCCATGTAACATGTATATAATTCATGTTCCAATTCAAAGATGTTCACCCATTTTTATAGCTCGAAGCTCTGGATGAATCACCATGACATCCCATTAAATCATCATGAAAGATAATCATCAAAAATCACCATTTCAAAAAATGATGTTCCCACGAAATCACCCACGAAATCACCGATTTTCCCACATGAAATCACCTCAATTCCTGTGGATGGTTTGTTGAAATCCTGCAGTTAGTTAGATCCCTTGTTATCCCATGATGATCTAAAATTGGCCCCAAAATAACCTTGGAAAAAATACACAATATCTTAATATATCTTAATATCTTAATATAATATATATTCTATATAGTACTATATCTTATTTTATAGTGTACTATATATATATTATTCTATACTATATAGTATAAGATATCGTAAAAAATAACAATGTACTATATACCATGGCGAAATATATTAATAATCCAAATTATCGTGATTAAATCGCCATGAAAATTATCACTATTTTAATGTAAATCACTATGCCCATATGCTCCATGGTGCTGGAATATTTACCAACATTTGCTCCAACAAAATCACCCAGTTTTGTACGTAGGTGAGTACACCAGCACCATGGAGCATATGGGTATAGTGATTTAGAGGTTTTCTGAAATACGGGTACCCCCAAATCATCCATTCTAATAGGATGTTCCATTATAAACCATCCATTTTGGGATACCCCATTTATGGAAACCTCCATAAATATATATATATATAGCGTTTCCAAACGTTAATAGGTACCAACTGGTGCAGGCCGAGGCGGCTGCCGCGCTGGCAGCGGTGGTCAGTGCCAGCACTGCAGGTGACGGTTCCTGAGGGATAACCAAATGTTGTTTTCACCAAGAAAAATTGCGATTCTATGGGAATTTAATGGTGAATTAAGCAACAAAAAATGGTGGTTTAAGCCAACAAATTATGATTTATGGGTGAATTAAGCAACAAAAATTGTGATTTAACCCAACAAATGGTGATTTAATGGTGAATCAAGCAACAAAAATTGTGGTTTAAGCCAGCAAATGGTGATTCAATGTGAATTAAGCAACAAAAAATTGTGGTTTAAGCCAACAAACGGTGATTTAATGGTGAATTAAGCAACAAGAATGGTGATTTAACTCAACTTAAAATGGTGATTTAGTGGTGAGTCAATGGTGATTTCATGGGCCGCAATGGTGATTTGGCCTATTTAGTGGATATCCATGAGAAACCACCTTGCCACCTTTGAATTAAAACATCCAAGTTGCTAGAACATGTTGGAGGTTTTTGTGATTTAAGCAGCACGCAGAATTCTTTTCTTGGGAGTTAACCACGGAGAATGGGGTGATTCAACAAACAGAATCTGGAGGTTTAACCAACATATAGGGTGTTTAAGCACCGAAAATGTTCGGATTCGGTGATATCATGGATTTCAATGGGATGGGATTTGACTGATTTCAGCACCACTTAGGGGATGTCATTGGGAATTTAAGCCACAGAAATCAGATGAAAGTCAGGGATTTAAGTAGCAAACGTGGCTAGATCTGAACTGTTTTTTTTCGAGGCTTGAGCAGAAAAGATAAATCATGATAAATCGGTGTTTTTGGTGGATTTCAGCAGGAAAATGTTGGATGAAATTGATGAAATGTTTAAAAAAAACATCGCGAATTGTGTAAAATTTCACCAATACTTCGATGGTGAATTTCACCAACCACAGTAGGGTATTCCACCCATGTGGGATATACTGATGGAAAAAAAAATCAAGAATTGGGATCATTGAACGAGTATTTCACCATCAAAAACTGGGGTGGTTCATGCCTTAAGCATCAAATTTGGCTTATGCGGGATTTAAATGGGTTTAAGTAACCAAAACTAGATGGATAAAAGGCCATACACGTCGGTTTAACGAGCGTTTCTTGCAAGGGGATCAACTTAAGCAACCACTCGATCATGAGGTCCGTGACAATGGCGATTCAACGGAGAATAAATGGTTATTATAGATGTTAAATGGATGTTATTATGGATATTAAATTGATATTAAATGGATATATTAAACGCATATTAAATGTAGAATTGATGGATATGAAAGATCATATAATGGATACTCAATGGATACGAAGACAAAAAGACACCATGATGGTGGGTCCGGTGATGCCACCAAGGACTTTCGAGGTCTCCAATGGGCAAAAAAATCCATCATTTGAGGATTTGTCATTATCAAAGGAAGTTTAGGGGGAGAAACTTCCGTGTTACGGACTTTTAGAATGTCTGGGAAAGAGTTAGTCAAAGAAAGAGTTAGTCAAAGAAACAGTTAGTCAGGGAAAGAGTTAGTCAAAGAAAGAGTTAGTCAAAGAAACAGTTAGTCAGGGAAAGAGTTAGCAAAGAAACAGTTAGTCAGGGAAAGAGTTCGTCAAAGAAAGAGTTAGTGAGGGAAAGAGTTAGTCACAGAAAGAGTTAGCAAAGAAAGAGTTCGTCAGGGAAAGAGTTAGTCAAAGAAAGAGTTAGTAAGGGAAAGAGTTAGTCACAGAAAGAATTAGCAAAGAAAGAGTTCGTCAGGGAAAGAGTTAGTCAAAGAAAGAGTTAGTCAAAGAAACAGTTAGTCAGGGAAAGAGTTAGTCAAAGAAAGAGTTAGTGAGGGAAAGAGTTAAGTCACAGCAAGAGTTAGCAAAGAAAGAGTTCGTCAGGGAAAGAGTTAGTCAAAGAAAGAGTTAGTCAAAGAAACAGTTAGTCATTAGTCAGAAAGAGTTAGTCAAAGAAAGAGTTAGTGGGGAAAGAGTTAGTCAAAGAAAGAGTTAGTCAGGATATGTGAGGTAGTCAAAGAAAGAAATAGCAAAGAAAGAGTTAGTCAAAGAAAGAGCAAAGAAAGAGTTAGCAAAGAAAGAGTTCGTTAGGGAACGAGTTAGTCAAAGAAATTGTTCCCTCACTGTAAATGGGATTGCAAGTGGTGCTGGTGGAGGAGTTGCCGATGGAGTTTTGGAGGAAGTCTCGCACGAAATGCGGTTTTGAGAGATAGCAGATGCACGAAACCCTATGTTTTTCCATACAAAGTCCGTCCCCGAACCTCGATGATCTACCTCTGCGGTGCGACGGGTGCGAGACGGTCCCGTGTGTGGTCGGATCATGGTCGGATCGGTCTCGGATCGGTTCTGCATTGTAAATGGGGTTTCACCTGTGTTTCGTCCATGTGCGGTCGACAGAATTTCATTGTGATTTGCAACTGTAGGATCGTTCCCGCAATGTAAATGGGATTGCAAGTGGTGCTGGTGGATGAGTTGCCGATGGAATTCCATTGGGATTTGCAACTCTAGGATCGTTCCCTCACTGCAAATGGGATTGCAAGTGGTGCTGGTGGAGGAGTTGCCGATGGAGTTTTGAAGGAAGTCTCGCACGAAATGCGTTTTTGAGAGATAGCAGATGCACGAAAGCCTATGTTTTTCCATGCAAAGTCCGTCCCCGAACCTCGATGATCTACCTCTGCGGTGCGACGGTTGCGAGACGGTCTCGTGTGTGGTCGGATCATGCTCGGATCATTCTCGGATCGGTTCCGCATTGTAAATGGGGTGTCACCTGTGTTTCGTGCATTTGTGGTCGACAGAATTCCATTGTGATTTGCAACTGTAGGATCGTTCCCGCAATGTAAATGGGATTGCAAGTGGTGCTGGTGGATGAGTTGCCGATGGAATTCCATTGTGATTTGCAACTCTAGGATCGTTCCCTCACTGCAAATGGGATTGCAAGTGGTGCTGGTGGAGGAGTTGCCGATGGAGTTTTGGAGGAAGTCTCGCACGAAATGCGTTTTTGAGAGATAGCAGATGCACGAAACCCTATGTTTTTCCATACAAAGTCCGTCCCCGAACCTCGATGATCTACCTCTGCGGTGCGACGGGTGCGAGACGGTCTCGTGTGTGGTCGGATCATTCTCGGACCATGGTCGGATCATTCTCGGATCGGTTCCGCATTGTAAATGGGGTTTCAAGTGTTTTTCGTGCATGTGCGGTCGACAGAATTCCATTGTGATTTGCAACTGTAGGATCGTTCCCGCAATGTAAATGGGATTGCAAGTGGTGCTGGTGGATGAGTTGCCGATGGAGTTTTGAAGGAAGTCTCGCACGAAATGCGTTTTTTTCTCCATTTTGGCGCTAGTGATTTTCCTTCTAAAAATCCTTTTAAAAAGTGCTTCAAAATCTTCTTTTTTTCGCTCTGGCGTCGAGATCCGGTTTTGAAGCTACAATTTCCGACGCCGTTGCGCGTAGTTCTATTGTGTTTTGCAACTCAGTCTCTGCAGATCGCATTGTAATGGCTGCGTCAAGGTTGCTTCATGCTGTGGCTGCATGCGTTTAATACTATTGTCTTTTGCAGCTGGACTTCGTAAATCGTATTGGAGTGGCTGCATGAAGGCTGCGACAGTGATTTGTCAGCAGATTTTCTCCATTTTGGCGCTAGTGATTTTCCTTCTAAAAATCCTGTTAAAAAGTGCTTCAAAATCGTCTTTTTTTCGCTCTGGCGTCGAGATCCGGTTTTGGAGCTACAATTTCCGACGCCGTTGCGCGTAGTTCTATTGTGTTTTGCAACTCAGTCTCTGCAGATCGCATTGTAATGGCTGCGTCAAGGTTGCGTCGTACTGTGGCTGCATTTGTCATACTGTTGTCTTTTGCAGCTCGACTTCATAAATCCTCTTGGAGTGGCTGCATGAAGGCTGCGAAATAAATTTGTTAGCAGATTTTCTCCATTTTGGCACTAGTGTTTTTTTGTTGAACGTAGGTTTAGAGCAGTGGGAAGTGTGGGGCGTAAAGAGTGCAGTGTGAAGTGTGAAGTGTGAAGGAAGCAGTGGGAAGTGAAAAAGTGTGAAGTGTGGAGTGTGAAGTTTCAGTTTGGAGTGCGAAGAGGGCAGTGTGAAGTGTGAAGTGTGAAGTGTGAGGTTTGGAGTGTGAAGGAAGCAGTGAGAAGTGAGAAGTGTGAAGTGTGAGTGTGAGTTTGAAGTTTGGAGTGCGAAGAGTGCAGTGTGAAGTGTGGAGTGTGGAGTGTGAAGACTTTGCTTCGTCTCTCGCTGAAAAAATCAAACGGTTGTCGAGGGAAGGACACGGTCGGGACAGGGTGTCTTTGAACTACATTTATGTTTGGGAAACTTCCGCCGCCGGCTTGCCCGGGTTTATGTTATCTAATAATTCATTATAAACAATCTATTTTGGGGGACCCCCAATTTGTGGAAATCCAAATCATTTTTGTTTTTTTAGATGTCTGATGATTCTTGGAACATTCAAGGGGAAAAGATTGGTTTGTGTTCCATGCGGCGGGGAGGGATCCTGAAATGTGATGTGAGAGATACATAGTAACATAATGTAACATAGTACTTGGGATGACTCTGACCTTGAAAAGAGGTTGATACCGCATACAACTCCTGTCATTTTGAATGTCCAGAAATGTGTGGCCCGGATTTTCCATCCAAGATTCTCGGGATGTTGCCCGGGGCCTAGTGGTTCCTACTTGGTAGCCTTCAAGGTGTCTTTATCCTGTTTTTTTTAATGGGACAATGGCAATCCACGGGAATATATTTCGGGTTTATAACCAACAAGATTGCTGAAAATTATGTTGTGTTTTCCCATTTGGAGAAAAAACATCATTTGGAGAATCTACTGGGAAACGGGCTAGCAGCGGCCAGCATGGAAATATATGTTAGATATACGTATAGTAATTATACTTATGTTTTTATGGCCCCTGAAGCAAAACAAGTTATTCCATCCATGCACATCTCACCTCACTGGGAGGTATCTTGGCCGCTTCTTTGGACGTGCAGAAGGTGGGTGTGTCATCCCATCCATTCAGGTCCCAAACCATGATGATTTTTCATCCCCTAAATGGTTGGTGGTTTGGAACATGGCTGGATTATGACTTTCCATCATATTGGGAATAAGGTGAACAACTGACGAACTCCATCATTTTTCAGAGGGGTGGCGAAATCACCAACACCATGGTTTCTGGAATCATAATTGCAGCATTTATTGCCACAACTATGATGTTCTAAAGCATGAGGTCTGACTGGGGTAAAATGCAATTCTACCTGGATCTGGCTGCTGTGTTTCAGGTGTTCACCGAGTTTGATGTAGACAAATTTGGCCTAACTTTGCTATCGCAGCCATTTCTGTTCATCATAGTGCCACATGATGACATGGGTTTGTCTGAAAAAAATATCATGGTTGATCATTTCTCAATTGGGGTGGTCGTAATCCCACTTTCAGACACTTTCCAGGCGTATAATCAATCTCTTTCATTGTTTCGTCACCAAATCTGGATCTATGCTGAGCGTGGTTGATATTTTTTTGTGCATGTCGCCTAGAGATTGAGTGGAAATCATTGGAAATCAATAGAATCAATGGATTGGTTTAAGGGAAAACCTACAGGAAACCATAGATTTTCCCATTAAATCTAGGGTTTTCCTGTAAAATGTCCCTTAAACCAATCCATTGATAGAACTCATTCGGCACTGGGTAAATCAGGTCATATCAAGTCTCTCAAGTTGGCATTTCCAGGCAGAGTTTTCCGGCAGTGTCTGCATAAGCCTTGCTGTCAACAAGGGTTTTAATTTGACGGGTAAATCATGGATGGTATAATTATAATGGTCAATTATTTGGTATATGGTATAATGGTATATGATAGTATATGGTATATTAGCAAATGTTGGTAAATTGATGATAAATGCTGAGATATTCCTGAATCTATGACGTTTATCATCATTTATTCATTATTATTGTATATGATGATAAACAGCAATTGCTGGTTGGTGGTTTCAAACATTTTATATGTTCCATAATATATGGAATAATATTTCCCATGGACTGATATTTTTCAAGATGGTAAAAACCACCAACCAGATTGATAAATACGTTGGCCTCATGGCACGTTGATGGCCTCAGGCCTCATCTCTCTTGGATAAGCCACAGCTGTAGCTTATCCAAAGTGGAAACCACATCTATATATAAGGATTTCCCAGCGAAAAAAAAAAATGGGGGATTTCTACTTGCCACCTTTGACTAGAAGGTAACATAGCCATTGAAATTCCCAGTAAATCACCACTGAAATCCCAGTAAATCGCAATAAAATCACCAGTGAGTCACCATGAAATCGCCATTTGTTGGGTTAAATCACCATTTTTGTTGCTTTATTCACCAGTAAATCACAACTAAATCACCATTTGTTTTTCTGGCCGTCGGCCTTTGAAAGTCCGCACGCCCCAGACCTTGGAAGAGCTCTGTGAGAGCAGAGCAGTTGAGACCGCGTGCGCTGTGTTGAGCAGTGGCTGCTGAAGCCCTGTTGGTTGAAGATTAGTTCGTAATTTAAATGGGATTTTAACCATGAAAATATAGGGATATGAGTGAATACAAGTGATAAAGTGATAAATGATGATTGGTTGATGATTAGTTCGGGGATTATACTACCCAAATCTACCAAATATATTGGGGATTACAATAATCCGATAGGGAATCCCTGTAAACCAACCAGAACAAGTGTCACTAATTCTTTCTTGGTAAATTATAACGACCGAACCCTGTTCTCCCGAACCCCGGAATCATGGTTAATAAGGGAAATCATCCCCAAATGGCCTTAATTCATGTTAATGAAATATTATAATTTACCCAGAATTATGGTAGACGTATCATCCTTAGATATTTCTCTGGTTTTGAGGTTGAAATATGTTGAAATATTCATTCATTTGGAAATTCAGGACCCTAAAAATCCATAAAAATCCTAAAATGGGAGGTACTTAATATGGGAAGTAGCTTCAATTTAGGTACCGGTAAATGGCCATTGATTCATGATTTTCAAGCATTTTGAGATGATGATCCCCAATGTGTTGGAGTTTGAGTGTGGCGCGCGACGATCAAAGCATGAGATTGTCGTTGACACATGGGATAGCTCGTATTTCATGTCTGAATCATTACCCTCTGGTAAACTAACATAACTATGGAAAATCACAATTTTCAATGGGAAATCCACTATAAATGGCCATTTTCAATAGCTATGTTAAATTACCAGAGAGTAGCTCCTGTCTTCTGCGGTATGGTGCCAACTCGCAGCACAGAGAACCATTGTGCTTGGCCTAAGATGTGTGAGTTTGTGAGGCCTGGACTCCAAGCTGTGTAGTCTACCAGCTCTTGCGTATGAGAGTGCAACAGTCACCAAGCACAAGCCGCTTTGAAGAAATCGGACTGGCGCCAAGACATTTTAGCAGCTCTCCAAGAAGGAGTTGAGCCAAGAGATGACCAAGCGCAGGCTGTGAATACAAAGCTCACTCGATTCCATTCATCTTTCAAACAAGAATTCGACACCAGTATTCTTGATGGAACTGCAGCACTCACAATCTGCAACTTCCATTTACAAGCTCTGAATATCAAATCCTTTGGAGAACATGGAGATGGTCTGCAGGAAATCAATCCTCAGGCATAGCGGAATGGTGAGAGGTATAGATGATGCGGCTTACCCAAATCCTTTGGTGATTGGAGAGGCTTTCTTATCAGCACGATGTGGCTTGGAGGCTGTGAACCTTGATGCCTCAAACATCATGTTGAAGTGTGATGGAGTGGATGAACTGGTGGCACTGGGAACATTTCTCGTTTTTATGTTTTTTTCCCTTGTGCCCTAGGGAGAGGTTGCAGTCAGGATGAATCATAGCCATCTATGATCATCCTCCATCTTTTTCATCATTCCCTCGATTTTTTGCGGCTCGAAAATCACCTCAGATTCTATATATATACTATATGTATCCCATCATGTTTAGATATTAATAATGCTAGCAGAGCAATAATAAACCACCATGAACCACCCATATTTTGATAGTGAAGAAACCATCCGTCGATTTTTCCATCTATGAGATGGTGGATCCTATTGCTGTACGAACAAAGATATTGAAAGTTGGAATGTTCCAGGTACTTAAAACTCAAAAGCTCTTGAAGATATTGATGGTCAAGGAAAAGCTCTTTTCATAAAAAATAAAAATAAAAAATCATTAAATCAGAATAAGTCCCATAGATATGATCTAGAGATTTGTTCCGCCGTAGCCAAAAAAAACCAGGCCGTTGTTCACAAAGCTCGACCCCAAGAGCGCCCGGGGGACCGAGGGATCGAACGTTCCCAGGTACCCAGCCGCACGCTTGGCTTCAGGCCTTGTGACCTCGTCCTGCGAGGCGGAACGCCCAACGCGAGCGCTGGCTGTGTCTACGAAGGAAAATGTCTAAAGCTGATGGTATAACCCATAGGATCCATGTCTGGTATATTTATATATGCTAACATTTGGGGTATATTGATGGTAAATGTTACCATATATAGCATACATGGATCCTATGGGTAATACTAAGGAAACTATGAGGAAACTATAACTAAGGATGTGTCAAATAACATGAAATAACTAGGTTTATAAGATTGTGGTATAATAATAAGGATATTATAACTAAGGACACGAAATAACTGCTAGGTGTATAACAAATTTCACTATGACTATGACTGGGTAGTAATTATCATGTAGAATAGTTAGTCAAAGTAGTAATTCTAAACCGCTTACTATGTCCCCATGATGGTGCAAGGTTGACAATTACCATGACCTACTATGAGTTATGGTGATTTTTACTGGAACATTTCATGGAAAATCACGGGATATATCGGAAAAACCATATGAGAAACTCTACTATGACTTATGGAGGTTGCTACCATAGTCACACTCATTAATAACCATTCATAATCATTTATAACTATTGGCTGTATTATATTTTGGGGTGAAAATCATCTATAAATGATGATTTAAGGGGAATAGAATGGGATGCAACTAACAGTATGATATTAATGTGGGAATTTACCCCGATCTCACCATTTTTGGGGGGGAACTTTATGATGATTTATGATTGACCAGTGGATTTCGAGGTACCCTCTGGTAATTTAACATAGCTATTGAAAATGGCCATTTATAGTGGATTTTCTCATTAAAAATGGTGGATCTTTCCATAGTTATGTTAGTTTACCAGAGGGTAACCTACTTTCATACAAACCCAACCGGGAGTTGAACACAAAACCAACGAAAAATAGGTAACCGATCCCAACAGGAGAATCACCTCAGCCAAAAATAAGGGCCCCCCTAATTGTAAGTTGGTTTATTACCCCATCCAACTTGATGTTCTGACTCGAATCCTCATGTTTGGTTAATGTTCTTACTTCATTCCCACGTTTTTGGCTAATTCATATTAATTCTGAATTAAAAACTGTGAAACTGAAAAATTGGCCAATGTTCTGAAAAATCATCTTCAATACCGATTTGTTTGCCAAGGTTCTTTCTCAAATCCCTCATTTTTGGTTGATCAAAAGCCTCATGTTTCGCCCCCGCACCCAGCATCATTTGGCTTCGGAGCTGACCTTTGCAGCCCTTCGAGGGGCCCGGGCACTGGTTACGGATCTTTTTTCAGGAGGAAAACAGGCGGATTAGCAGAAAAAAAATGATTTTCATTGGAAAATGGAGGAAAATCACCGTTAATTATGACGGAATGGGATTTTAATCGGATTCTAATGGGAGTTAACCAGCCAAATGAGGATTTAACGATCAGAAAGGGTAAACATACAAAAAGGATGTGGAAAATATATCAATCGTCTTTTTCATTGTTATAATACTCAACAAATATGGGGAGAAATTCTGATGCAATCGGGATTTTTTTCCATCAATGATATGGCTGCACGACACCGCGGGTTGATGTTTATAGTGATTTCATGGGAATTTAAGCATCATTTATAGGGGTTTTATGTGGGGTTTCACCATGTGGATGTACGGGGATATAATTGACCCATGTTCCATGTTGGTCGATGATCTGATGATTAGTTCGGGGCTTCTACTGCCCTTTATATATTTGGGATTATAGCAATGACGGGAATCCCGTTCTCAACCAAGAAGTAGAAGTGACAGAGAGTTTTGAACACCGCGATAAAAACTAGCTAGCTAAAATTCTAATTGTTTATATATGGGAACAGATGTTCTGGGAAACAAACGGTTTACCACAAATAATATATAATTATATATATAATTATATATATATTGATATCAACCACCAAAACTATGGGGACAATTGGATATAACTTAATTAGTAAAAATATGTTGGATATTAAGGTAAAACCAACTGAGTCGTGTAGTGCATCTTAATGTTCTGCGATAAATAGGGCGACATACTCACCAGCTGTATATTCTGTTGGAATCTAACCAGCCAAAAAACCATGGCCAGTTGTTAATGGTGGCATAGTGGCATAGTATGTCAAAGGATTCTCTGGTTGGTGGTTGGAACGTGTTTTTTCCATTTTTCCCATTCAGTTGGGAATTTCATCATCCCAACTGACGAAGTCCATCATTTTTCAGAGGGGTAGGCTCAACCACCAACCAGTTGTTTTTCCTTGATTTGCCGAGTCAATGGTGTTTTCCCATAAAAACCCATTTGGGGAAGAATCATAGCCAACCATGGGGAGGTGTCATGGGGATATAAGGATACGCAGATATTTACCAGAAATTTGTCATTGTTTGATATGAAATGCGTTATTTACCCATAATGTGTTTGTTCAGAAATGTGGGTATTTACCGTATTTACCCGAAGTTATTGCAATTTTTGATAGGTAAAACCATTGGATTTCAGGTCGACAATTTCGTTCCAACAAATTGGATGGTTGACAACTTGGATGGTTGGCTGCTTCACTTCGCAATCTGATTGAAGAAATCACCCACTAGTTTACTACCGAAGAATCACGCAAATATATATATATATTGTATGTATGTATAAATTATATATATATACTGTATATGTGAGCTTTGTCGGGCCTGAACCTTTTAACCCATACCCAAACCTTTGTCCACTTGGATTCCTGAATCATCTCATGTGGTCGTGGTTATGCGGGTTCTAATGTTGACCGGTACCTTTCAAAACCATCCCCAATTGGGTTTTGACAGTCCATACATCGGTTACCCAGGGTTGATCTGAAGCATTCCCATGTGAGTTTTTTCGAGGCCAGGATGTGTTGCACGGATTTGCACGGCGGTGGAGCAGTGAGATAGTTTGATCAAGAATTATTATATATATATACATAATATACAATATATAATACAATATATACATAATGATACAATAATATATATATATATATGTGATACATTATATATGATATAATATGATTTAATATATTAAATTATTGATATATTATTGATATATTATTGATATATTATTGATATATTATTGATATATTATTGATATACTATTGATATATTATTGATATATTATTGATATATTATTGATATATTATTGATATATTATTGATATACTATTGATATATTCTTGATATATTATTGACATATTATTGATATATTATTGATATATATATATAACATAACATAACATAACATAACATAATATACATAATGTATACATATATATACATATATATATACATATATATATATACATATATATATACATATATATATATATGTGCATATATACAGTATATATATGTGTGTGTGTTCATGAAGGCATACAGTCATATTGCAGCAGCGATTCTGAAGGACTTCTTCAAGTTCGAGCCGGTGATCTCGACCGTCCCTGTGCAGGGAAGGTTTCCAGTCGATGTTCGTAGCGTTCCTCGGGCCAAGCAAGAGATCTTTTCTCACCAAAAACTTCACTATCTTCCAAGATCACATTCTTTTTGCCAGACCTACAGACCTACAGACCTAGATGGAAGACTATGACTAGCAGACAAGCTCTGGTCATCGGAGACGGAGACAAGACGGAGACGAGAAGATGTCGTCCTTGAGATCATTGTGACATGTCCAAGAAGATCTTAACGGGGCGGATTGACAGGATGGACCCAGAATTGATGGACGTTGGTGCGGCCCCCTTGATCACATGCTTTCGCAACGCCCAGTTCAGAACCGTGGTGGGTGACGGTTAGCTGTCGGGTTATACATGATGACTCTATACCTGCTGTTGAGCATGGGTATGATTGTAGCCCATGATGGAAATAATGATGTGGAAATTCTATCAACCAAGCTGACTTGGCCACTGCTCGCATGCGCCTTGACCGAAACGCCTTTGATCTACGACTGGTGAAGCTCTGGCGTTTACCGGTGGGATGTGGCGAAGACTCAGGTCAGGTGTACTCGCGGCCAGTCACCGGTTTTGGTCCTCATGATGTCATGGTTGGTTTTATGGCTCAACCACAAGCACCATCCCATGATGGGCCATGATGGGTGATATTTCCGCCGCCATCCCATGGTGATGTGGTGATTGCTTGTTGGGTTCTACATGGCAGTGGCTCAAACACATGAGTTGAATTTCTATGCCTTGGAAACATGTCATAAATCCTACTATGTGGAGCCCCCGTTGGATAGCTAAGTCGGTGCAAATAACTCCAATAACTATGGTTTAACTATGGTTTATGGTACTTATAACGATAGTTAATGGGGTTTATAAACCAACAAACATCACTGGGGGCCCATAAATCCTGGCGATTTCAGGGTAGCACCCAGATCTTCATGGGCCAAGGCGACAGCCGATCATTTGGATGGCTTGGTGCGACTGGAATTGGCGGAAGTACCTCGGGAGCGACGGAGCGACGAGGGTCATCATCCCATGTGACGAAAATTTCGGATCCCCCTATGACGACTAAGAAACCCCAAAAGCCCATGACTGATCCCAAAGTTCTTGGTGATTTTGAGCTTATTTAGGAATATTTAGGATATATCTGGATATCTTTTCTGCAGATCTGCCCACTTGTTGGCCTTGTTTTCAAGCACCATTTCTGGTGAAATCACCATCACCCATCATCACGTCCCATAGCTTAATCCCATAGCACTGATATCAGAGAACCCTCATAAGATACCCTCTGGTAAACTAACATAGCAATGGAAAATCACCATTTTTAATGGGAAAATCCACTATAAGTGGCCATTTTCAATAGCTATGTTAGTTTACCAGAGGGTATCCCAAATGAATAGGGCAAATACAAAGTCAGGGTGTCTAAAACTTGTGTAACTTTAGGGGGAAGTGATTTTTGGGGAACCATCGCAAAGATTGCTGGTAGATGATAGCAATCTGTTTGCTCCAGCTATTTGGTAGATTAATGGAGAAGTTCTGCATCATGGTCGCGTTTGCCGGCCTGAGCTCTTGTAAATTGCGAAACTCGGTGATCTTCACCCTTTACTGTCCCAATTTCCCTTGCTATCTGGGGTGTAGTTTCATGAGATCTCGCCTCTAAATGATCCATTCGCGGCAATGGGGAGTTGAAGGAAACTGCTACAAATCGGAGTTGTTCGGGACTGGATTGGTCATCGTTCCCAGTCACTTTTTTTCATCATTTTCTATAATTATAGCCCCAACCAAGGTAGAAAAGTCATCAAAGTCACTATGGCGTTGTTTGTACTCATGGGCTACCCCATTCCATCCTTCCATTGGTGATATTTGTTCCAATGAAATTAAGATTTTTGGTGGTATGCCTCATTTTCAGGCACGCCCAAATATCAATATTGTTTTACCATCTTATATATAATATACATATATATACGTATATCCAATGATATTCCCCTTGGATATCACCATTTAGTTCAATGATATTTCCAGTAAATCTGCAGCCAATAGTTATTAATATTAATGGTTTTAAATGATTATGAATGGCCATTAACGGCTATAACTTTGGTAACAACCCCCATAAATTCATAGTAGTGTTTCTCAAAAAATGGTTGTTGATAAATCCCGTGATATTTTTGCTCGTATAGAAATCACCAGAACTTATAGAGTTAGTAATTCGCAAACGTGCGCCATCATTGGGACAGTGTAAAAGCTTTATAATTACTATGACTATACCATGACTACTATGGTTTTGGTGATTTTCATAGTATAAGACTGGTTATTTTCATGTTTATTCATCGTTATTGATGGCTATTACCCTCTGGTAAATTAACATAGACCCTGAAAATCACCAACTGTTAGAGGAAACTAATCTTCCAACCCCTATCTACCAGGGTCTATGTTAATTTACCAGAGGGTAATGGCTATATATGCTAACAACCCAACAAAGAAGTCGCGGCCGGCGTCTAGGCCGTGCGAGCCGTTGCTCAGAAGTGCGCCTTTTCGCCCTGCGAAGCAGTGCCGGGATCCTGGAGGATATGATCCAAAAATTCCTACTGTGGATGGGCCAACAAAATCCTGCCGTTGATAGATGGATATAGATGGTAAACATCCCATTATTTATGGGGTTTCAAGCATCTTTTTGGTGGTGGATTTCGCTGGCCCATCCACAGTAGGAAACTGATCTAACACTTGAAGATCCTCCATGGCTAGGTGGCTAGGTCTATTTCGTGCGTGGATTCTTGTCGATTTTGAAAATACACTCTCAATTTTGTGGATTAGACATGTGGGTTGTGGTTTCTGGAATGAATTCACTCAATAGTAGTGGAGAGAAGGAATGAAATCCGTGGGGAGTGTTCAATGCTTCCGGAAAAATTCTTGTGGATTGTTGATTACTTATCAGACTCATCAGCACATGGGGTTTAACTTGGATAAATATTGGATAACTTAGCTAAACGAGTGAAAATGGTGTCAAGACTGTCAATACTCTTCAGTGGTGGGATGTTGTGGGAAGAATACCTTGATATGCCGGTGATCGGGGTAAAACATCCACTTCTGGGAGCACAACTGTTGTGGATTCTTGATTACCCTCCAATCAAACGTGGCAAACATAACTGGTTGGTGGTTTGGAACCTGGCTTTTATGACTTTCCATATATTGGGAACAATCATCCCAACTGACTTTCATATTTTTCAGAGGGGTTGGTATACCACCAACCAGATAAAAATCCCCAACAGAAATGGAGGTGTTTTTACAGGAAAATATACCACCGCACCACGGGGCGACGCCTGCGAGGTCTGTAAACCGCCATGATCTGCAGCGGGCCTTGGAAGAGGCCGATGGCTCGATGAAACCATGGGAAAACCATGGGAAAACCATGGGGAAACCATGGGGTTTCCCCATCCGGATGATACCCTCTGGTTATGACATTCACAGTTCGCCATGGTCAAGCCATGGCCCTAATCGAAATAGATGGTTTACCTACTAATAGCATGGTGATTTTCCATGGCTATGTTGAATAACCAGAGGGTATTTGAAATGATGCCAGAAAAAAAGACCTTCGCTGCTCACAGAATCCCCCATGTGTTTGCCAGGGTTCTGTCACAGTTCTGTCATCCAAATCCACAGAGATTCCCTGCATCTTTCCATCATTTTTAGCGCTCCATGATGTCGCATTTTTCCCACGACGTACAGTACCCTATATTGAATCAAAATCTGAGATATGATGTTATATGTGTTCCGTCAGATTACATCATTACAGAAGGATATGTATATATATATATGCCACCCCCTGAAACAATACGTATAAAGGTGTTATATTTTATTTTCTTCCATCGTATTACATCATTACAGAAGGATATATATCTGCCACCCGCTCAAACACTACGTATAAAGGTCTTCGAATGGGTGTATTCTATCTTATCCAAAATACAAGGTGTGCAAAAGGACCGCTTTCTACGAGAGAATCTAGGATCCGGGAGAACCAGAAACTTACGTCAAGAACCCTTCCACGACTTCGTGGGGGTCTCTTGAAAACTCCAGTCGTTTTACCCGAAAAAACATAGGCTCCGGGCAAACCTCCGGATCTGTGCGAAATGATGATTAGATTTATATGAAGATGGTGGTTTGTGGGAAATGTGATGGATTTTCCCAGATGTTCGCTTGCTTTTTGACTCTGGGAAAGCTCCAATAAAATTGTGGATTAAACAGGATTTACGAAGTGTCTATGGGCAAAAATTTAGATCAGTGACTTAATGGTCAATCAGAAAATGATCATATATCCTCCGGAACCATGGCATTGTTGTAGGATGACTTGGGGCTGATGAGTTTAGATGAATACATGTTCCGTAGAATTCGGTGGATACTCCTGGGATATTAAGCAACAAAAAATTGGGAAGTAAAAACCAACCACAACATGGATAATTATAATGGGATATCAGTAGTGGGATAGGTTAGACAGGTAGGGTCAAAATATGTCAAAATCAAAAAAAATAGAACCACCAATATATAACCACCAGGGAGGTGAAGTGAGTTTCAATATCAGACATGTACCCTCTGGTAAACTAACATAGCTATGGAAAATCACCATTTTCAATGGGAAAATCCACTATAAATCACCATTTTCAATCGCAAACTGTTGACATCACCAGAGGGTAGGCTTCAAGATTTTCTCGATCCTTTCGTCGCTTCCTGTGTTATGTCTTCGCCTCGGCCTCTGTTGTAAGTTGTGTGGGTGAAATCTTAACGTTTCTGGCATCAAAACTCCGGATTTCAATGGGATTTCAATGGGTCAAATATGGTCAAAAAATATCTGAAGATCTCCAAAATTCTGAGATAAAATCTGGGTAAATTATAACGACCTCACTGTTCTCCCTCACTGGAATCATGGTTAGTAAGGGGAATCATCCCCAAATAGCCTTAATTCAGGTTGGTGAATTATTGGATTTACCCAGATAAAATCAATAGTAAATCAACATAAATCCATATCTGGTTGGTGGTTTCAATCATTTTTATTTTCCAGAATGTATGGGATGTCATCCTTCTCATTGACGAACTCATATTTTTCGAGATGGCTAAACCCACCAACCAGATGTAAATCATGATATATAAATCAACATAAATCCATATAATTCCAATATAAATCCATATAAATCCAATACAAAAATCCATATAAATCCACATAAATCCCCCAAATTTCTAGGTCAAATCCGTGAAATCCCCATGTTGTCCGCCGATGCCCTGGGCTGCTGGAGGCCTTTGCTCGCGGCGTGGAGGAGACCTCCGGCGCTTCGTTGCGCCTGAGAGAAGCCTTGGGGACCTTAGAGGTGCCTGCCATGGCAGCCATGGGATCATGGAAAAAAGCCGTGGTTTTTTCATGGTGAATAACCACTGTTAATAACCATGGTTAATAACGTCAACCCCGGCTAAGAAAGTGATTAATTAATGATGGTTATAACTGGTGATGTCTATGGGATTATATATATATATCCCAAGAATCTGGGTAAATTATAACGACCTCACTGTTCTCCCTCACTGGAATCGTGGTTAGTAAGGGGAATTATCCCAAAATGGCCTTAATTCAGGTTGGTGAAATAGTATAATTTAACCAGATGGTTAACAATGATGGTTAATGATGGTTAATAATGATTAATGATAAATTTAATAGTTCAGTTACTGTAATATGATTAACCATGATTTTACTATAGTAATGGTTAATATAGTAACCATGGTTAATGATGGTTAATAATGGTGAATAATGGTGAATCACAATGGTATAATATGGTTAATATGGTGGTTAATGATGGTTAATGATGATCTTATTAATATGGTTAACCATGATTAATGATATAGTGATTATAGTCTAGTGATTAATATCACTAAATCATTGGTTAATAATGATTAGTAATGTTTTTGTGGTTAATAATGGTGAATAACCACTGCTGATAACCATGCTTATTATATGTTATTATAATAATGGTTAATATAGTAACCATGCTTAAGAATGATGGTTAATAAATTTTAATAATGGTGAGTAATAATGGTTTAATATGGTTAATATACTGTAGCGGTTAATGATGATATAATAGTTAATATGATTAGCCATGATCTTATTTTTCTATGGTTAACCATGATTAATGATATATTGATTAATAAAAAGTGATTAATATTATGAAAAATCATTTGGTTAATAATGATTAATGATGGTTTTTGTTGTTAATAATGGTTAATAACCACTGTTAATACCCATGGTTATTATAATAATGTTTAATGTAGTAACCATTGTTAATAATGATGGTTTGTAATGGTTAATAATGGTTAATAATATCGTGGTTCCTAGGTCATAGGGGTACCCCCAGTTATCATCCATTTTGAAAACTATCTATAAATATCCACAAATATCCATAAATGATAGAGATCTATAGATTCAACAGAGCATTTATTTCACACATAACGTGTGGGTTGTTACCATAGTCATAACATGTTATAACCATTTTTTTTACCAATGGCTGAAAAAATCGTTTGGGAACAACCATGGAAGCCATGGTTGTTCCGATTTTCATTGAGGCGATGGAGAAAAAACTTTGTCGGAATGGACATTGACCTGGCATGACCTGGTGCCATTGCGAGAAACCATGGACATTCGGATGGAAATAGGCTATCCTATGCTATCCTTAGATTTTCTGAAGGTGCCGACTTTCCCGAATATCCACTATGAATCTATGGGGAATCCTTCAGAAAGTAGCTTTAAAAAATTATGGCAGTTCAACATCCAATCGCTACTTCGATGTTTCTGAACGGAACACGCCTGGCAATACAGGAGATATACCCTCTGGTTATGACTAACCTAGCCATGGTATAGATGGCCCATAGAAATAGATGGTTTACCTATTAATAGCATGGTGATTTTCCATGGCTGTGTTAAATAACCAGATGGTAAATGATATAAATGGTGGATTTTCCAGCAAGTCATATTACCAGAGGGTCTCTCATCTCATGTTTTTCTAGTCCCTGTATGGTTGGGGCACTGCATGGTTTTACGTCCACATTTATATCCCAATATGGCTATGGATCAATGCCTATTAATAGCATTTTTAGGGGGTTATTCACATCCATAAATCCCAGCTATTTTGATGTGAACTACAGGGGTACTATTGGTTTTGATGTCCATCCCCATATCTATTTGTTTACTATTGCTTTATTGTAGAAATGGGATGATTTATGATGATTTATATACTATTCAATGGATTGGTTTATATACTATTCAATGGATAGGGTTGACCCATCCCCATATCCCAAGATGTTTTTCAGGCTCCTCAGCTATCTCCAAAACTGATTTCGACTCGTCAGGCAACGCAACATCTCCAAGATGGGGCGGGGGAACTTGGGGCCGCAAGTTGGGTTTTTTTTCGAATTTCGGAGGCCAAAAGATTCGATCCATTGAAACACCACAAACCATGGCTGATCATTGATACACATATATAATATATATATATATAATATATATAATATATTATATAATATATATTATATAATATATATTGTTTTCAAAACCATCACAGTTTCTGGTTACAGCATGTTGAAAGAAAAACCTATTCCACATTTTTTTGTGGATGTCAAGTCCTTGAGTAGTGAAGATTCGATGGTTCAGCTTTGCCATCCCTTGCCCATTTTCGAGGTCATGGCGTGAGTGAGGATGCAGGTGCTGGGTTGCCTTTTAGCCGTCGATTTTGCTAAGAAAGGCTACCGATGAAATATGATGAAATGCTCTTGGTTGAGTGGGGAATCCGCCCTCCAAAACCTGGAGTTTTGGTGTCCCCAAGGGTTTCCCCAAGGGTTTCCCCAAGGGAACTCCAGGGGAACCCTTGCGAATGTGTGTTCCACGTTTGTTGTTTGGTTTCCCCAAGGGTTTCCCGAGTCGAGCAAGTCGATATCGATGTCAATGAGTCTCAAGTCAATCTACTGGACAGGTTTCGAGAGTCTCCAATTGATCGATCCTTTGGCATATTAAATATGACTAAATAGCAGTAACATACAGTAGCCACCATGTACTCACCCAAGAGTTATTCCATTAAGATGGGACAAGTTTGTTCATAACCGTTTAATCCATCAGTTGTTTGTTTTCAGAAAGATTATCAACTATAAGATATGTTCAATGTTGTAAAGCCCATGAAGATCCATGGTTCATCCATGAACATCCATGAACTAGTTCCATATATCGGGGCAAATTATAACGACCGAACCAGTTCTCCCGAACCCTGGAATCATGGTTTATTTTAGGGGAATCATCTCAAAAAGGCCCAACATTTCAGGTTCGTGAATTATAATAATTTGCCCATTATCAAATAAAATAGCAGTTTTGAATAGTTTTGATATGTTTAAAGAAGGGGAAATGATGAACTGGTTCCATATATCTATCATAAACCTTGCTTATCTTCGCCGAACTTTCGCACAGGTTTTCTTAGGCGCCAGATACAGGGGCGCCGCCTTTGTGCCCAAGGCTCGGAGAAGTGATGGTCATCACTTGGGGTGGTTGACTAATGGATACCTGGTTGGTGGTTTGGAACATGGCTTCTATGACTTCCCATATATTGGGAAGAATCATCCCAACTGAATTTCATATTTTTCAGAGGGGTTGAAACCACCAACCAGATACTCATGGGCATATGTCATAGTTCACTAAGGCAAATTAGTTAAAGTTCCCAATAGAATATATATATATATATACATGCAATAGATGTAGCTATGAAAATATTTTTTTAGTGATCACTGTAAAAGATACCTAAAAAGAGATATTAACATATAGAGATAAATGAGGTATCGAGCTAGTTGTTTCAGGGTTAGTATGTTTCGTGGAATTGAATGGTTTTCATGGAATTCCATGAATCATATTACACGGATTTGTTTATGGTAAACCATTACATTAGTATTATCTGCTTGGTGGTTTGGAACATGGTTTTTATTTTCCATTTCATATATGGGATATTTTGTTCGTTGACGAACTCATAATTTTCAAGATGGTTAAACCACCGACCAGATATGTACATGCTTGGGTTGATATGGGAACTTTGCTTTATCCGAATCGACCAACTTAGTAATGCTTCGCCTATAGTAACCGCTCGCAAAGCATAGAACGGTAAGCTACCGTCCAAGAGGATTGTATTGCTCTTTTTCTGAATGTTTCTCGCTATAAAATGAGCAAGAATCAGATGACTGGTTGGTGGTTTGGAACATTTTTCCTTCCCATATATTGGGAATAATCATCCCAAGTGACTTTCATATTTTTCAGAGGTATACCACCAACCAGATGATCATTGACCATCATTAACCATATCATAACCATTAATATTAACCATTATCAACAGTATATTAACCATATTTTTCAGATGGTCAACAGTGAAATCTTGGAGGTAAATCCAGCCAAATCTCGGGCCGCCAAAACAAATCTGGGTAAATCCAGCAGAAGTGTTGGAGAAGTGTTGCTGCTGGGTTAAAGCAGCAGGGTTGAACTAGCAAGAATGTTGTGGTCTTAGCCAGCAAAACATCAAAATATCATGGAATATATATATATATAATAAAATGTATAGTCATCAACAATTTGGTGGCCAAGTGAATAACTTGATAGATAGTAGTTGACAAGCAGAAATTGGATCAAAATGGAATCCGGCCAATTAAAACGGACATTTCACCACTGAAATTTTGGGATGTCCACATGTGTTGCGCCAATACCTATTGCTGACCTTGATTATGTCGGTTATTCAATAGACATTATCAATATGTGGCATATTAACTATGGCTGGCTACCCATAACTATCTATTGGGTAACCATAGTTAATTCACATGTTGGTTATGTTCCCATGTCTTGGGTAGAATTATGCCAAACTTTGAACCATACACAACCGTGGTCAAGTTGGGGGGAAGCCCTTTGGTGAAGGAGTTGCCATTTTGATGGCCTGTTTTGAGGAAAATGAATGAACATGATATCTAAGTCAAAGCAAAGATAAACTTTGAAGGGGTATTTTTGAGGTTGGTTCCTTTAATGATGAATGATTCAAGCACTCCAAGACATCGACTGGTTTGCAACCATGAAATCTATGTCCATCATGAAGTCATGGTTACCTTGAAGTGAGTGGGTAAAAATCCCAACCATCTGCATCAACCTACGGTCCAGGCACACCAATTGCTGTGTTTCCCAAGGGCAGCGGCACCTAGGACACCCGGATGGACAACCCACGAAGACATATTTGGGGGCAGATAAATTGGGGTGGTACCATTTTAGTAGCAAATTATCATTGTTTAGGGTGACCCCGGCTGATTATAACCAGATTCATTCATCCAGGTTTGACAATTTGACATTAGTAATTTCATGTAATTTCACTGGTAAGTTGGTCATAACAAGATTAGGCTTGTTCTAGCCTGAATCCATGAAAATCGTGTGGATATGTCATGATTGTCATCATGAGGAAAAAAAAAATGCCCCTGCAACATCCAACAATATAGGCCCGGGGTGTCTAAAACTGGGGTATACCAATGAGCAGCACGTCCGTATGAAACATTAATCTGGTGGATATGTCAAAAGTGCACTAGGAGCAATCGTATCATGATGTTGGAAGGTGTCAAGTGATATCAAGTTGTACCAATTGCCGCCAGTCCTTCTACTTGACGCTGGTTGTATGTACTTCATTGGCTTTGCTTGTCACCCTTTAAAGAGAGGACACCTTGTATATCGTAGTTGACTCAGGAATTGTTCACTATTTTCTGCCACAAGTATATACTAACCATTACAACCAGTGCTATAAATACATACTAACCAAATCTAACCAAATCTAACCAACTATTTTTTTTTCGGGTACTCATATTTCTCAGAGTGGTCATGTGAGAAGTGAAAAAACCTCTAACTAGAAAGGTTGATGCAAGCCATGTCGAGTTGTTTGACTTTTTTGGATGATTTATTGGGGGGTTCACATTTCTAAAAATGGGGGTGACCAAGAGCCAAAAAATGTGGGTTTTAAATGGGGGAAATCTCCTCAGTCCTCCATTAATGATGAGATTTTCCCTTTTTTCAACCAGCTATTGGGCTACTTGGTGGCGAACTACCCACGAATCGTAAGTGGGTTATTTCACCCCAGTGATTGATGTGGATTAACCCTACTTATCCATACTTATCCCATTTATAACTGGGGTTATAACCCACTTACTAAGTGGGATGAGCCACCAAGTAGCCCCCTGACTATGGAAAGCCTCACGCCAAATCAGCAGGATATGCAGGATACGTTGAGCGCGCTGCGTCCTCCGAGCCGACTGACAGATTGGCAGATGGGACGAAGTGCGACCTCGTTTCGTGACTTCTGGTGCTGCGGTCAGCTTGAAATCACATCTTTAGATGGTGATGATTTGGCTTACCTTCCATAGTACGGATCATTGGAATATCATTGGGATATTATTTAATATATATATATAATACATATATATATATACATGTATACATATATATATATATATTGATATTTATTTTTATTTATTTATGTGTTTATATTATGTTTATACTTCTGGCCGATTTTCCAGGAAATCATCCCCAACTGACTGGGTAGTTTCACTAATCCTCAATAGTTGTTTGCTATAGAAAATCATCAAACCAGCAAAAGATAACGCTTTTTTAGGGACTCTCAAAGATTGACCCATAGCCACATGGTTGCGTATTGCTTCATACTCGCAAAATGAGATATGGTTTCGTCTGAAGAATAGGGGAACTCGAAATCTCTGGCGTATTCATCATTTTCCCCATACCCTCTGGTAATTTAACATAGCTATTGAAAATGAACCATTGATAGTTGATTTTCCCATTAAAAATTGTGATTTTCCATAGTTATGTTAGTTTACCAGAGGGTATTCATCATTTTCCCCATAGATCCGGTGGTGTTGACCACTTTTAAGACAAACCCATAGCACCTCATGTTTTTTTTGCGAAACCATGATCAGGTGTAGCAAGTGAAACCTTGATTTGGTGGCTTAGAATGAAATCTTATATGTCATATGAAAATAAGCAAAAAACTATGGATGATCAATGGATCATATATAATCATATATACATAATTATAAATATACAATATATACACGGAATTATGGGGTCCGAAGTCATGGGGGTACTCCCAATTGTCATCCGTTTAGATCGGATGTTATTTATTTATTTATTCATATACAGTATATATATATATATACAGTAGGGGTACCTTGTATGTATGATAAGATATTAGATACATATATATATATACATGATATTATCTTCACGATATTCCTGGGACCTGCTTGATCTTGGTGATATCTTGCTGAAAATTCGGCTGACCTTGGTGAAAACTGTGACCAGCTTCGGTGAATGGTTGGTGAATGGATTGCAGGGATTGCATTGTCTTTCCATAAATTGTTCTGCATTATCTGCAGAGGAATAGTTGACACGCTACTATTTTACAAAATGGGCTTCGACATTTACCCACCAGTAAATTAACATAGACCCTGGCAGTTGTCGGGGTATTAGTTTCCATTAAAAATTGGTGACTTTCAGGGTCTATGTTAATTTACCAGAGGGTAGGCAAGAAAATTATTGGTATTTTGCAGTGAAGAAAAACTCTCCGCGAAAATCTTCGGAATGGCAGGTGGAAGTTCAGCACTAGATTCAGAAGATTGGATCTACATCTAGTAGCAACCTCGGATTTTGCTAAACCATGGTTTATGAAAATTAGGGGGTACTCCCCATATGGTCATTTCATCTGATACTTAAATGGTATCCCCCCAATGAAACAACCGTAAACGGGGTTTATTAATCCAGGGTTGACATTAGTAGCAACCTCGAAACAACCTCACCCTGAGTGGTTTTTCGACATGACCATGATATTTCTGCAGCGAGGCTGATCAATCAGAATGAGCTTTTGCAGGATGGAACGCCAGAAAAATCTTCGGAAACAAATTTGTTGGGCCGACTGGTTGGTGGTTTGGAACATGAATGGATTATGACTTTCCCATCATATTGGGAAGAGATTTTCCCCAACGGACGAAGTCCATCATTTTTCAGAGGGGTAGGTCAACCACCAACCAGTGATGGAATTATGATGGATATATCATGGTTTATGACATTACTTGGTAATAATCCATAATATATATATATACATATATACATATATATATATACATATATATATATATATACATATATAGATATAGTCCATAATGTCATAATACTGTAATATATAGATGATATCCAAAGTCCTGGATGTTCGTCCAACAAATTTGGATCAACGTTCCTCAATTTCCGCCTTCGGTCGACGACAGCAGAAAGCGGCTGCTGGCGCACCTTGGAGTTACGACGATGCCACAGCGGTGCCAGCAGGGATTACCTCCTGCTGGCAGGTACAAAAAGGTAGGGCCGGTAGAGCCTTGACTTGACATGGTTTGTTGTGACTCAACTGAATTACCCTCTGGTTATTTGTTACATAGCCATGGAAGCCATTGCCCATAGAAATAGATGGTTTACCTATTAATAGCATGGTGATTTTCCATAGTTATGCAAACGTTTACCATATGGTATCTAGAAGTGGAGGCAGTCGTTTGGAGGGTTGGATTCCATCGATTCCATCCCCAAGAATGGGGAGCCGGCCAGATGGAGCCGGCCAGATTTTTGTAGTAGTCTTCAACGTGCTGCCCCACAGATACAAGTTGGTTTATAATGGTTTATAACCCCCATCAACTATAGACTATAGATCTATGATAATCTATGATATATGTATTATAAACCTTAGTTATTGGCGTTATGTTTACCAACTTAGCTAACGAACTGGGGCACAAGCTTGTAGTATTAACTGTCATAGTGTATCTTGAGTATAATCTCAACAGAACAATTGATTTGGTGAACTGCGGAAGTTCGCCAGTCACTTGATGTCACTTGATGGGTAGCTTCATAGAAAGTGTATACGTATGTAACTTGCCATCAAAGTTGGAAGCAGGTGGAATTCATATAATACCCACCTACAGTAGATATTATATAGTATATTTAATATTAGATTATATGTATATATTATACTATATTATTATATATTATATTATTGTATAATATACTGTAGATGCCCTACAAATATGGTTGGTATCTACAGTACAGTATATTATACAAGAATATCCATGGAATGATCTGCAGCAGGGCATGAGGGGAAGGGTTAACCAGCAACTTTTCCCAAACTGGAAAAATTGTGATTTAATGGGATTTTAATGGGATTTAATGGGATTTTATAGTGATTCAATGGGATATTAATGGGATATACCCTCTGGTAAATTGCCACATAACTATGGAAAGATCCACCATGCTATCAACGGGTAAATCCACGAACTAAATCACCATGTTCAATAGCTATGTAACAAATTACCAGAGGGTACAAATGGCGATATGACGCGCTATGACCGATAGATATGGGTAAACTGCAACGTCCATAGTTGGTTTTGCTGCGGTTAACCAGGAACGATTTTGATGAAGGAATATTGGAGACCCAGTGCCACTGTCCAACTCCACATCACCAAGCAATGCAAAGTCGCCGAATTTCGAAGTGAAATGATATGGACATGAGCCATGGTTTTTTTCTCTGCATCCTACTATGGACGACTACCGGAGTAGGCCAACTTGCAACCGCCCGAGATTTGGGTCATTTTTGCTACCCATCGAACTATGGCTGGTCTGAAAATGGGGCACACGGCACACCCCGGATTCCACTGGTAGATGATCAGTTTCCCAATATTTTCACTATGAAAAAGCGGCCATTTTGCTGCTGGCCCCCTGAAGGAGACCCATCACCTGGATGTCGCCCCCGAAGCATCGGCCCAAAGCCGGATTTTTTTTTTCTGAACTCCGCGTCTGCTGTAGGTGCTTCATGGTTCCTTGGAGCAGCGGCGCCCCAAATGATAGGAGCAGCCCCCGAGAAGCCACGTTTCTGTTTTTTTTGGGGGGGATGCTAAAAAATCGTATGCGGAACAAAAAAAAACCTGGCATATGGGGTGGGTCCATAAATGGGGGTACACCCTGGAAAAATCATCCATTTATAGATGGGATGTTCATGGATGTTCCCTTTTCTCACACAGCCATTTTATCATTTTGGGGTACCCCCATGATGTGAAACCTCCGTATAATGATGATCAATTGACAGTTACCCTCTGGTAAATATTAACATAGCCATGGAAAATGACCCATTTATAGATGGTTTACCTATGAAAAATGGTGATTTTCCATGGCGAACTGTTAGTCATTACCAGATGGTAAATGGATATGCTATTCCCATCAGCCCTAAGCGCCGCCTCAGGCGCTTGGCCGAGCAGCCACAGTCCCCTTCTCCGTGCTGCGGTGCCGTTGGGTGGAGCCCTTGCAGGCACTTGGCACTGGCCAAAAGTGGAAATGGCTGGGGAAGCTAACCGGAAGGACACGTTAGTAATCTTTAGTACATGTACATAACAAGAATCATACAAGTACTTTGATAGGCATTACAGGATATAAAATGAAATAAATATGTGATTCATCTTTTGCGTTCTTTTGCAGTTAGGATGTATGTAATTGCCAAAAAGTGAGTTCGGTATCTAAGATTGGCAATGATTAAAGATGTGTAATTTACCCCCAAACAACATATATCGGTGGGCCTGGGATGGGGATCCATTGGGATTACAGGGGATGGCGATTCCAAAAGAATGTAGGCTGAGAATGCTGTGATGATCCCTTTGAAAATGGTGCCACAAAAGACAGAGCCAGTGTTATGATCATTATATACCCTCTGGTAAATGAACATAGACCCTGAGAATAGCCTAGTTTTAATGGAAACTAATCTTCCAACCCCTATCTGCCAGGGTCTATGTTAATTTACCAGAGGGTATCATTATTATTTTTTTTCTCATGGTTTTCTTATATCTTTAGTTACTATAGTTGTTTGGGTATGTTGTAGCCATGGCCAGTATATGGTCGTATGGTAGCCATTGCCACAATGTTCTTGACGACTATTTCATAGTGGACTCCAAGAGCATTACTATACTTCTAGTCATCGGGGAAATTCGCCATTGTAGCCGTTACCCTCCTAAAAACAAACATAGATGTGGAAAACCCACCATGGAAGTAGATAATGATAATATTTTTTCAGGAAAACCATGAGTTTTCACCATGTTTTTTGTATGTTTAGCCCAGGTTAAATCCCATTTCTGATGGTGAAATCCCATTAAAATCACATTTTTTTCCCTGCTGACGTGTCGTTTCCGTTTCGTGCCTTAGGCGCGAGGCTTTGTGAGCCGCAGCGCTATTCGGCTATCAGAGGCTGGGGAAATTTCCTGGAATATGAATGGAATATTGGATAATGATGGATAATGTGGTTAAAACAAGGTCACGCCGCCGTTAGCGGCGCTGGACGTTTTGGCAGCTGGCTTGCAGCAATCTCTGTCTCAGTGAAACAGAGCTGGCATGGCTGCCCACACATCTCCTTTACAGTTGAGGCGCCACATCCAGCTGTAAATCCAATCCCACAACGCAGGATTCACCTTTTTGCTGGTTGCATCCTTTGCTGTGATCTCGGATGGAACATACTTTTTCAAATCCTGCCATGCTCTGTCCAAGGTTTAGACAATCATGACACCTGGTAAGTACACCCCACCCCAACCCATGCCCCACGTAGCAGCAACGTAGCATCCACGTGGTGTACAAGTGCAAATGAACGTTAACATCCCACCCCACCCCAACCCATGCCCCACGTAGCAGCCTCGTAGCATCCACGTGGTGTGCAAGTGCAAATGAACGTTAACATCCCACCCCACCCCAACCCATGCCCCACGTAGCAGCAACGTAGCATCCACGTGGTGTGCAAGTGCAAATGAACGTTAACATCCCACCCCCCCCCAACCCATGCCCCACGTAGCAGCAACGTAGCATCCACGTGGTGTGCAAGTGCAAATGAACGTTAACATCCCACCCCACCCCAACCCATGCCCCACGTAGCAGCAACGTAGCATCCACGTGGTGTGCAAGTGCAAATGAACGTTAACATCCCACCCCACCCCCCATCCCACCCCTGGCCGTATATGCTAAAAAGTAGTAAACTCCTCTAATATGCTAAAAAGTAGTAAATTCCTCAGCGCCGCTAACGGCGGCGTGAGCATAAAACAAGAATAAACCATCCCCAAAGTCACCTTCTTTTTGGTTCGTATAAACCATCAAAAATGGGGTGGTTTATTAGTGCTTTACCGGGATTAGTACCCTTTGGTTACTTAACATATCCAATATGAATGGAAGAATCCGGGAAAATCATGGAAAATCGTGGTTTCACCAGCACGGGTGGGGTTTGCTCCAACAGAAATTTGGATTTTGGGTGATACTTTCTGGAGACACTTGGGATAGTCCTTCTTATGAGAAGAATTTGATCAAGGATCAAGCTTACCTGTCATATGTTTTCAAACAAACCCATAAATATTTTATTTTTTCTGTGACAGATATAAGTGGAGATGTCAAAGGAATGTCGTGAGAACGACATGATTGAGATTCATTTGGAGACAAAAAAATCTGGGGAGGCTTCACCATCCCAAAGCACCATGGCCGCAGGCTCCGCCGTGTGGCACGAAATGTGCCACACCCACGCAGTGCACGGAAAGCTCCAGTAAGGCCGTGAGCGGATGTGGATATGTTCATGGGATTTTGGATTATGATTGGATTATGATTGCAATATTACTGGATATATTGATGGGATATATTGATGGGATAATGGAATATGAAATTTCTATAGGAATTTCCATCACCAACTGATTGGTGGTTGGAACATGTTGGAACATGGTTTTTATTTGTCCATTCAGTTGGGAATAATCATCCTAACTGACTGTCATATTTTTCAGAGGGGTTGAAACCATCAACCAGATTATGATTGAAATATTACCCTCTGGTAATTTGTTACATAGCTATTGAAAATGGCCATTGAAATAGTGGATTTACCCATTGAAAATGGTGATTTTCCATAGTTATGGGACAGTTTACCAGAGGGTACTGGAATATTACTGGAATATATTGATGGGATAATCCACTACTTGATGTATATTTCCAGAATGTGATATTCTTGGAATATTCGTGGAATATTTTTCTGTTACTGAATACATTGATGGGATAATGGAATATGAATGGGATCATGACTTCACATTCTTAGATTTGCATGGTGAAGATGATTTTAAGGCTTATTTTCCCAATGGGAAATCCACTAGAAATGGTGAATCGATTAAGGGAATATGTGTTGTCTTATGTTGGTTCCTTTTTCTCAATTTTTCAGTAATTTTGATACAACTGCTACTAAACTGCATTTTTTTTTGGTGGAAAAACACCTAGTTTTTGGTGGATCTTTGCCCTACCTCTGGGAGTTCTTTGAGGGATATAGACTGGGAATTTCAGGTGGTTTTTAGCGGGGTAAAAAATGGGTTGTTGTTCTGGCCATTAATGGAAGTAGACCAGCTTAAAAGATAAACCTTCTTTGTTTTCAGGGTGTCCAAGATTACAAGCAAACCATGCAAACCGTTTCGTGCAATTGGGAAGGTGAACCAACTGACTCTTTCTACGCTGCTTTCAAAGTTCTCCATCATTAAATGGCCTCTTCCAAGCTCCGATTTGCGCATATACAATAATATATCATATAATGCCAATATGACCAGTCCAATCAGTATAACAAAATATTAAAAATCTATAGAAGAAAATAGGAAAAAAACCCAGCAAAATAACATAAATATATTATATGCAACTATCTCATCCTATGAAATCCAGGCAGACATTGCCCACAAGGCGGTCGGCAGCGCTGGGGCCACCTACGGGTTCCTCAGCTCGAGCCAGAAATCCTCGGGGATCAAACGAACTGTGAATAGGAAGATAACGATGATTTGGTCAGGGGAATTCGTTGGTTCTTATTGAACATTATATATATATATATTTATTTATTTATTTATATTTATTTATATATATATATTTATTGATTTATTTATTTATTTATGTGGCATTTATATTGCACTTATATGGGTATATGCATATATATATATATGTGAAAATCTATATGGAAATGATCATCTAGAGTAATGATCGATATTTATAAGCGTGGGTTAAAGCAACGTAAGCCAAGCATTGTATCGGGATATGTCGGGATGTTATGGGAATCTTCATGGGAATCCTCATATAACCAGCTTTATATGTCAAGCTGGGTGTGTCTGCAAAAAAAATGGGTGGGCTATGTATATGGTGGTTTCAAACATGTTAAATAATATATGAGATAATCCCCCCTGACTTTCATATTTTTCAAGATGGTTAAAACCACCAACCAGTATATATACTTCCCCAAAGTTTTTGTTGGACCTTTGATCCAGTGGATTTGGGAGTGTAATGAGTGTAATGGATGGCGGCTTGGAAAATCTCCCAGCCCTCCATATATACCCTCTAGGTAATTTGTTACATAGCTATTGAAGCCATGGCCCATAGAAATAGTATAATAGTGGATTTACCCAGCTATAAAATGGTGGATCTTTCCATAGTTATGGGACAGTTTGCCAGAGGGTACCTATTGTTTTTTTTTATGTTTATGCACAGAATGGAAAAGAATGATTTTTCGTGGACCCATTTTTGGTTTACAGTATAGATACGTTTGAAGGTCTCGATATATGACATACATATAGCATATATATATATACCATTTGGTTATTTAACATAGCTATGGAAAATCCCTAACATAAATGGAGGTTTATAGCTGGGAAAATCATCTGTTTCTATGGGCCATTTTCATCCATTTTCCATGGCTATGTTTAATAATCAGAGGGTATATATTATGTATGTATACACAGTATAGTTCTATACCAACGATCGCCATATTTTTTCGTTTCGTGGCTTTGAATGGTGAGCCAGGGTCAATCTGAGGATCTGGAAAAACCTTTGCTCCTGGACCCGACTGTTTAAACTGATTACTGTACAGCTGATGTATTTTGACTATTTTGGTTTCTCATCAAATCATTTTAATTCAGTTGTTTGAGTTGTTTCGTCTTTGGGTTCCTTCAAACTCAAGCATTCTCGTCCTGGACGGTTGGGCCATGCCCCCAGGTATTCCAAGAAGTATGCTGAAGGATGGGAGCGAATTTTTGCTCGACGTGCCTTGCACCGATGGACTCAGAACTGAAGGCTGAGTTTCTATAGAAATTTCCATCAAAGTTTGTCGGCGGTCGAGAATGATTGAGGCGATACCCATTTGCGAAAAGAACCAGAATTGGGATGAATTACTAGTTGGTGGTTTGGAACATGGCTTTTATTTTTTCCATATATTGGGAATAATCATCCCAACTGACTTTCATATTTTTCAGAGGGGTAGGTATACCGGTATACCACCCACCAGATTTAGTGTGAGTGCCGAAAATTCTTTGGAAACCTGCCATCACACCTGCACGGTGATGCCTACCAACTTAGCTGGTTGTGGGGGCACCACCTAAGCTGCTGTCTCAACGCACAAACCAAATGGTGATCTAATTAAGCAATATCCCAATTAGTGGATGTTAATCCCAATTAGTGGTGGGTATTAATCCCAATATCTGATTAATATCCCAATGACTTTCCACTAAGCAAAAGAAACCACTGGTCCGGGGCACATTGATGTTAGTCTGACAGAAATCGCACCAAAAGGGAGGTATTGGTACCATGATACTTCAAATTTGTGGATGTTTGAACACATGGTACCATTGCTTACGTACCCCGAAGACCAACGGTTGATCATCATACTCTCCATTCTTGGACAAAGCCATCTTGATAATCACTTGATTGCCCCTCGTTTTGCAAGGAAAAAGCTCAGAAGTCAAGGAGGACCTTTGGAGTGGTGGGATGCCGCCATCTGACGTGTTGAAAACCCAGGGACCAGCCGGTGACCAGCCCAGATACGAGGGACCGGCCCACGATGCCTGAATTTTCTGGAGTTCTGGGAGTTGGATGATGTTTAGCCCAAACATTTGTTGTCTTCCCATCACAAGAGATATATGCACAATAGTTGTGAAAAAGCATTCACCTAATCAAAGAAGATTACTAGCCCTGTGCCATCTAAGATGAATCATATCATTGTCAACGAGAAAAAATCTCCCCATCTGGTGCTTTCTGCTGGTAGAATTACCCTCTGGTAAACAAACATAGCTATTGAAAATGATGATTTATAGTGGATTTGACCATTAAAAATTGTGATTTTCCATAGCAAACTGTTAGTTTACCAGAGGGTACTCAGATACACCGATACATTCACCTGCCCCAGGAGGCTCCTTGAGGCGACCGTGTCTGACCACAGCAATGTTTCACCCGACCCAAATCGACTGCGACCGCGTTCGAGGCGACGACCGCGACTGAGCGACCCAGATGGATTCAGATGGTGATTTTCTATCAGAAGCCCTCCTGATCTGATGATATGCCAGCTGTGTCTCTTGACTTCTGGATCTTCTATGATCTTCTATGGGTGACTCCCGAATCAGGGAGTCTGAAGACGGAATGCCTGAACTCCAGAAGTCCATTGTGCTTGGAAAATGCGAAAATCATCCAAAATGCTGGTTTTTCTTGAAATCAAGGTGACTCAGTGATGACTCAAGGTTCAAGTGTGAATTTTCTTCGAAAGTAAATTCCCTTCCATGTTCAGCCAAAGGACTTGATGTTTCTTTTGAGGTAAGCCGCATCAAGATGGCCAGCTTCGAGCGCACCGCAGCGTGGACCCAGAAACCAATCCTCTTGCGATCTTGAAAAAGTTGACTGAGCTGACGGTTCCTACCAGTGCATCTCTTGAGGTTTCAATGGTACCCTGATATAAATTTACTTTGTTTTTGTTTACACATTTGGATTCCAATAGCTGTTCCCCATGCTCCAGATCCGATGATTCAAATATGTTTTATTTGCATGTTTAATACGTTTTATATTAGATGTTTTTTAAGGGAAGAAATTTATACCTGGGTCACTGCGAAGGGTCGGTGCTATCGGTCAGAGTGAGTGTTTCGAAGCATGTTCGTATCGTATCCATCACGTTTGATTTCCTCTCTACATCCACTGAATAGTTTTGAATGACTTGATTTCTTCCAAACGACTTGTGGCACCAAGAGTCATCCTTATGCCTGTCCAAAATGGTTGCTACCCAAAATCCACCCAAGCTGATGCATTTCTGACTGCACATCTTAGCACCACCCCTCCATGTGTTTTTTGGGTTATCTTCCATCGATTCAACCAAGCCCCCAGGTCAGTGAGCCAATGATGGTTCATGAGAGCCCCATAAAGATGGCAAAGATTCACCCCAAAAAAAATCTCGTGGCCAAAGTTCTTTCTTTGCAGTTTGTTTTTGCTCCTCAGCTGCACCCCATCCCCGCCACCATGGCCCTGAACTTCGTCCTCCCCAGCGCCACGGCCCCCGCCACGGCGGTCACCGCCTCCCCCGCGACCTCCGCGCGCCCTGCCGCGACGGCCACGACGTCGACGTCGTCGCAGACCGCGACGCTGGGCGCCGTGGCAGCAGTGGCTGGCCTGGCGATGCGGAAGAGGAACCGCAGCAAGGAGCGGAATGGGGATTTGGTGAGGAGACCCGAGGAAAATGGATGGATTTGGATGGATTTGGATGGATTTGGATGGATTTGGTGAGGGTCATGGAATATTGTATATAGTCTTGATTATATTCTTGTACTGTATACAATAGTGTTATGTATTGTTATATAATCTTGTAGAATGATGTGGAGGAGAGGTGTGGCGGGTCAAACCTTGGGTCCAGCGTGGGGGATTTAACATTGATTTTGCCATGATTTTGTGAATAAAAATATGGGGAAATTGGTTGAAAATCTATCATCGAATCCTGTGAATTTTCAATGTCCATTCATATCCCCAGTTTATGACCGCATCGATGGTTTTTGTGCTTTGCACACTACCTAAGTTTAAGGAGTTCTAAGATTTGAGCTCTGGTGCATATCCACATTTTTGGAGTCTACCCGAGTCTACCCTCCAGTAAACTAACGCAGCTATGGAAAAGATTCATGTTTAAGAAGTAAATCATCTACAACTGGATCATGTTCCATCGGTATGTCAAATGTTAAATTACCAGAGGGTAAGTCGTTTTTTTTGGTGGGGTCTCAGTGTTTGGAGCTCCAGCTCTCTATCTTTCGTCAACCCTATGCATCTGAAGATGGCTACGTTCCCATGAAAATTTGGCCATTGGGAGGCAGCCAGGTTGCCTTCCGCACCCAGATATTTGATTGTTGGTCATATATCCCATGAAGTCTCGTGAAAAATGATCCCCTGGTTGGTGGTTTGGAACATGGCTTTTTTATGCTTTTATGACTTTCCATATATTGGGAAGAATAGTCCCAACTGACTTTCATATTTTTCATTTTTCCATCGTATTAGGAATTTCATCATCCCAACTGACTTTCAGTCCATCATTTTTCAGAGGGATTCAAACCACCAACCAGTCCCTATCAAATATATTTGAAATCTCCCATGAAATCCCGCGATATGAATATTCCAATATATCATAATAATCTCCCATAACATCCTAGAAATATCCCATGAAATCCCGGGAGATCATCCTAGAAATCTCCCATGCTGCGCCAGATTTCTCGCAACTTCTCGCTGCAGATGCCGGCGCTCCCGGTCACTTGATTGCAGGGAGTGAATTGAAGCCAAATGACTTTGTATGAAACTGGGAAACCCCTATAATTTGATGCTTTATTGTAAGTTTCCCTATTAAAATGACATCATGAACAGAATTGATATGTGTTGTTTTTGGTTGTTCATCCAAGAAAACCAGTTGACAAATATGAGTCTCATGAATATACAAAAAGCACGAAGTCGATTAGGAAATCGGTGAGGTGTTTGCAGGTTGATAGAGTTAACATATGTTGATCAATCTTGACGAAACATCTTGAATAGAAAATGAATGGAAAGGATATGTACCTATATCTGATGTAATCTGCACAAGTTTTGAGTGTTACCAGGCTGCACCGCCAGAGGCTTTAGAGCTTCTGAGAACTGATTTTTAATGGCATAAATTCTTTTGTTTTAATGGCAAACTCTCAGTGATGGTGTTTTCGTCTCCAGTTCCGAATTCCCAGATTTCGGCCATAGCCTTCCGAATTAGATCATGCTTGAATCCGTTGAATCAGCATTTTGGTTGAGAATTTCTCATCTAGATCCATTATATAATAAAGAGAAAAAAAAAATGAAATATATATATATTATAGATAGTTAGATAAGATTAGATTAGATTAGATTAGATAGATAGAGAGTCCATCAAATCTCCGATAGTTTGTTGTTATTCAATGGACATCCCATGGCATCCTTCCATATTTCCCCATGTCTTAGAAGTTGCCAACTTCTCCCCATGAGTTTGTTTTCTAAATGATCTCTATATACAGATTCTATATCCCATGAAATATCACCATAAAGTGTATATGTACCCTTTGGTGATTTGCCCTAGCTATGGAAAATCACCATGTCTAGTGGGTAAAACATCATGAATCATCCACAAATGGACCATTTTCCATAGCTATGTTAAATAACCAGATGGTATATATATATATATGTATACGTATTATGTACCTATACATCCCATGATATTTGATGCCTTGTTGTTATGCCCTATGGTAACGTATCTGGTGATTATTTTATGGTTATTTTATGGCTGATGTGGTAAACCCAATCATAAACCTACCATTTGGGGATGGTTTATGGCATTGAATTTTCCACATTACTGCTGATAATCTGGGATGTAGTGGTGAGTGAATGGTGATTTTATGGCAGTTTAATGGGATATAATTAGTTGTTATTTAATGGCAATTAAAACCCTAATATAATGGAGGAAAAACAATGATACTCTGTCATTTGTTGTTACCCCAATTATATTTGCGGGTCATTTTATGGTTATCCCATGTCTTACCCTCTGGTAAACAACATAACATTATGGAAAATCACATTTTTTTTATGGGTAAATCCTCTATAAATGACCATTGTCAATAGCTATGTTTGTTTACCAGAGAGTAATATGATGGTTCATACTAAACATCGACTAAACCATCTACCTGGTCGTCCAGGTCTTGAATTTTCACCCATGTCCGGCTACTATGGTGGTTTCCAAAAATATGGGCTACCCCCAGTTATCATCCAGCTAAATAAACCAGAGGGTATATACAAAATGGAGGTATATTAGCTATATATATTAGCAAAATGGATGGTTTATTTATATCGTTTCATGTATGTTGCAAATGAACCATCCAGCTATTCCCCCCATGACTACAGCTCCATATTTGCCCAGCTCCGGGGAAGGCATCGTCCATTCTCCCATCCCATGATTGGTGGTTGATGATGACCAGCGGGAATCTTACCCCCATGACTATGGAACGCTCATGAAATCTCCTGGTTGTTGGTTGAACCACCAGAATCACCCATGATTACCCTCTGGTTATGTCAACAGAAATAGCTATTGAAGCCATGGCCCATAGAAATAGTGGATTTTCCCATCTATAAAATGGGTGATTTTCCATAGTTATGGGAGAGTTTACCAGAGGGTAACCACCATGATTGATGATCCATGACATTCTATGATCCCATCCCATTCACAACCATGATTCAGATGGTTTATCTTCAGTTAATGATTGATAAGTTGAACTAATTATATCCCGTTAAATAATGATCAGATTCACAACCACCATGATTGATAAGTTGATGATGGTTGATGATGGTTTATCCCATGAACATTCAGAAACCGGTGGATGCATGGCGGTCGATGCAAGCATCCCCAAGAAGAATTAACCTATGATGAACCTAAATTAACCACCATGATGGTTGATGATGGTTAATACTAAACATGGACTAAGCCATTCTCCCATGATGAAGCACCGGTTGATGGCTTATTAATCTTATTTTTGATTGTTAATCACTAAACATATGGTATATAACATTATATAACATTATATAACCATATATAACCAATAGAAAAACCACCGGTTGATGCTTACAAACCTAAATTCACCACCATGATGGTTGATTGCTATTATTGATTATATCCAATAGAAAACCCTTCGAAAAACCCAGCGGGTTGATGCCATGGCCCTCCCTAGGCCATGCCCTTTATGGTTCCCCCCAAGAAGACGGTGGTCATCACCGGCGCCTCCAGCGGCCTGGGCCTGGCGGCGGCCAAAGCCTTGGCGGAGCAGGGATGGCAGGCCGAAAAATGAACGGTCATCCCGCAACGACGTGGAGGAAAAGGGTGGGAAAATTCCATGAAAAATCCATGAACATGTATGAAAAATCCATGAAAAACCAGGAAAATCCTATGAAAAACCATGAAAAATGAAGTACTGAAGTGAAGTGGCTGCTACTTCACCGTAAAGATATCGTGAAATCATGTAAAGTTGGCTGTCTTGTGTGGTCTTTGCATCAGAAATCAAGCGTCAATCAAGATGTTTGAGTTTTCTTCGGGGAACTTAAGAGATGTGGGCGAAGTTTCTTTGTTGAGAACCTGTGTGTATCGGTTTGATAAAATATTGTTGATGCGGATAATTCACGGGGATAAATAAGGGGAATGATAACCAACAGTATAATATAAGGGGCGCAACAGCATATGATATGAGTAATATTCACGGGGATATAAGGGGAAGGATAACCAACAGTATATGATATGGGTAATATACATAATTATACATATATATATATATATATATAATATGTACCTGTGTATACCTATTTGTACTTTCGAGGAGATCGTGGATCATGTTTGTTTTCAATGCACAGCGTGATCTTTGTTACGCAGACGCTTTTCAAGGTGGCCAGACGCAAGCTCGAGCTGTATGACATCCTTCCAATCATGCCACCGGAAAAGCGTCGATGCTCAGGGAGCCATCGCGAAATTCCGAGAGACACTGGATCAGAAGATCACATCCGACTCGGCTCTCCAACGAAGTTGCCTGCCGGAACACCCGGCAAGCCGAACAGCTCCAAGGTGGACTGGGCCCAAGGGCAATTCACAGCGGAACAGAACCGCTGCCATGAGCAAACCCTTCTACCAGCAAGCTTCAATCATCACATGGGACCTAGACATGGCTCTTCTCTTGTGGATCTTTTGATCAGATCATATTTTCGGTTGATCATTTACTGTACACATGCATTTATTGATGGTAAATCTATGTAAATCTCCATTTGTTCTTGCGTGTACCAGATTGTTCGTAGCAATATTGTGTTGGTTCAATGGTAAAGCCTCGCAGTATGCCATGTTTGGGGTTTACACCATCTTAAATCCCATATTACTTCAATCATTGACATCCATTTAGATCCATTTAGATCCATTTATATAAATCCATGTAAATCCGCTCAAATCCTATAAGTTTGGATGGTTTAAGACAGGATTTAGCCACATGAAACAACGTCCCCTTGTTGGTTTTGCCACAGGTGGTCATGGCTTGCCGCGACTTTCAGAAGGCTGCAACTTGGCCATGTGCAGGTGAGAGTCAGCGAGAGTGGGAATTGTTTTGGAAAATCCACCAATTGTTTGTAGGTAGCAGCTGATAAAAGCTGTTAATACTGGTCGTAGCTATAAAATAGGGATTTTGGGTAGCCATTTTTGTATACATAGCTATGTTAGTTTGTTTTGGAAAATCTACAGTAAACTAACATAGCTATGGTAGCTACAAAAAGATGATTTAGCTAGTAAAAATGGTAGATGATTTTTGATTAGATGATGGAACATAACTATGATGGCCCATGATTTTAGAGGATTTAGCTAGCAAAGAAGTGGTGATGGAACATAGCTATGTTCCTAAATCATGTTGATCATCTCTGGGCATATCTGGGCCATTTTCCATAGCAAACTGCAAGAAATCACGGTGGTCTTCACCAAGCCCTATGGCTTCACGTTTTCCCAACTTCGGCCAAGGAAAAGGCGGCCAAAGAAGCTGGCATGGACCCGGAGAACTATCAGGCTCATCGTTGGGTAGCCATTTGAGCAGATGTTGCACTGCAAAAACATCACCGATATCTCACGATTGTTTGGGAAGCCTGAGATTTTGTACTCGCAATGTGTGAATCCGGGCATGACATGGAATTGATGAACATCAGTGAATGTAGAGTTGTTTTAACATCAAATGGTGCCAGTGGCAGGTTCCTGAAAGATCACTGAAACCATACTTCGCGCTCCGATTTGGGCAGGTGATGCACTGCGATTTGGCCAGTCACTCGTCGTTCACGAGCTGATGGCTTGCAAGTCCTGAAGCCCATGACTTGAAGGTTTTAGATGGTGGTAATCGGGTAATCCTACTTCAACTATCATAGACTGTGTCAAGCCTAATAGCCCCCAACATAAGCCCCAAACATAGACTATAAATTACTATAATTCAATCTATAATTTATAGACTATCACCCCCAACATCACCGGGATGAAGGGAGCACCGAGGCAAGCAGAGCGTACGGAATTTTGTGCAAACCTTCCGCACGCAGTATCAGTCCTTGGATGTTCCTTGGATGTTTACGAAGCAGCGAGGAGTGAATGACTGCCTGAGTATCGTCTGGATTTTAAGCAGGAAAATTGAGGGCTCAACGGCTCAAGATTCAACATGCCATGATGTGATAATTTCAAATCGTTTGTCAAGAAGGGGGTTCCAAGAAACCACTAACCGGATCACCAAGAATGCTGGACACTCTAGAAAAGTGGGATGGTCTACTGTACCGTGACCAAAATCCGTGTTCGGATATATCCATTGTGTTTGGATTTCCCTCAATGGGATGGATGACCATAATACATCATAGAGCCCCATTTTTATCCCATCTGGTCACCTTCTCCCCCTACAGGCCTTGGTCTGCAACGCGGCGGTCTATTTCCCCAACGCGCACAAGGAGGGCGTCTTCCTGCCGGGCCTCTTCCCCGGTGGCGGACCCCGCTGGAGCGCCGAAGGTCCGATCCTCCTGGAGGATGGCTGGAATCTGGAAATGAATGGAACATTAATGAAGAAATGGCATTTAGAATAGGTTAAAATCCATGGTAAAGGGGGAAAAAACACGAACATAATGAGGGATTTGCTAAAAATCCATTCCAGAGGATAAACATCCCTTTTGGCCATCCATTTCTCAGGGGTATCCAAGATTCTCCATGGGTGGAGCAACATACAGCAACTGCAGGCTGTCAGAGCCATTTCTTTCCCGTCCGAATTTGTGGACTTATCATGTTTGAAAAATTCAATGGTCTGAACTTGAGAGCACAAGCATATACTCCAAATCTGGTCGGTGAGACTATTCTGGATCATTTTCATGTTGTCCAATGCATCAAAAATGTATCCCACAATAGTGGAAATATCTCCATGCTTAGAAATCACAATCCGCATATATTTGTTCCCCCATTGATACATCCTTCGTGTCTCAGCATCATGCCCCACAAGGGGCGGAACCTCAGCCTGGCAGGTCACGAAATGAGTTTTGCGGCGAACTACTTGGGCCACTTCTTGCTGTGTAACCTGCTACTGGAGGAGTTGGTGGGGTGAGGGAGGTTCGTGACAAGCCCTCTTCATCCAAAAAGATACTTAAGTTAGTAGAATCCCGTTCTAAAATGTTCTAAAGTTGTGATGAATTCTGATAAAGCTATCTGAATCCTCCTGACATTTAGTGATAAAGTACACTTTCGAGTTCTTTTAAAGGGGAGTGCCAATCTTCAATGCTTGGCCGGTGAAGGAACAAAAAGGAACCATTGCGTAAGCAGTTCAAGTCTCGCACGGGCTGTACATTCCGTTGGAAGGATGTCATGGTGCTGTGTTTTTGGACTTGCGCCAGAGGTGTCAATGGTAAATGATCGCCACAGGAAGGGGAAATAGGCCATTTTATCTCTGGTTGGTGGTTTGGAACATTTTTTTCCCATACATTGGGAATTTCATCATCCCAACTGACGAACTCATATTTTTCAGAGGGGTTGAAACCACCAACCAGTCTATCTTTACCCAATTAACCTATAGGGTGTTAGAGCGGGGATCCCCACTGTCCTAGCTACTCAGCTGCCTTTGACAATGGGATGTGCAGTGAGCCCAATCACCGGTGACGTATCGAAAAAAAAAGTGTTTGAGGGGACATGGTTCGCTCATGGAGATCTTCAAAGGACCATTTTGGCAGAGTTTTGCCACTTTCATTATGCCAAAGATATTCAAAAACTGACTCCCTTACATGCAAAATCGCCAGTCACAGCCTTTTTTGGTTTGCTTGTTTGCCAAATATTCTGGAGAACCGCCAAAGAAAGAGTTCTTCACGCATGTTAATGGGTACGGCCTAAAATATCCTAAAATTAATTATATGTGGCATGAATTATATGTTCAGGTTGCCTTGTACACTGGCACTTGAAATTTTGGTCACGCCTTGCGATTCCTCACCCTTCCTGTTCTGTTTTATTAGCCACTTCCCTAGCCACTTCCCTTTGGATTAAATCTTGCGACACTACAATTATCTCAGAATGATGTGCATTTTCTCCATGTTCTTATGGTATACCAACTCTTTTCAAGTGCGCTCATCGCTGGTTGGGCCCCGGTCTGACCTTCATCCGTCCATTCACCAAAAACGGATCAATCCATTGATGGGAGTTCATGGATCCACCATTGATGATGTCCCGTGGGATGAAGGACCACCCCATACACCAGTATTGATTATAGCTCATGTTCAATGGCCATTTCAGGATCCTAGATTGGAGGTACCTACCATATATAAGGCCTATTTTTTAGGCCTATGTAAGGGAATATCCCCACAAAATATGGCCTTATATGGTACAGTACCTCCATTTAGGATCCTGGAATTCCCATTGATGTATCCGATGCTGATTGGTGGTGACTGGAACATGGCTGGATTATGACTTCCATTTCATATATTGGGAATGGAATATTCATCCCAGCTGACTACTGTAATATGTTTCAGAGGGGTAGGTATACCACCAACCAGGTGGTTTGGCACCCCTCTTTCCCCAGTCACACCCTGCAATGATGCCCTACAGCCCTAATGTTGGGAGAGTAGCTACAACGTCCCCTAATCCTGTGGTGTCCTTATGCGCAAACACATCGTTTCGCCCAACATCATTTTTTGGTTTAAGATGGTTTAAGGTTCTAGGGTTTAAGAATTAGGGTTTTAGGGTTTAAGGATGTTTAAGGATGTTTTTTTGTGTTTACGGGTTTTCCTTGATTTTCGTATGGTTTTCGGATGTTTTTGTTGGACTTTAGGGTGTAGGGTTGAAGATTTCGGGTTTTCTGGCTTTCGTATGATAGGGTTCAAGATGACTTGCACAATGTCGCACAGGTCCCCTCGCTGAGCTTTCCAGGAATTTCAGCATGACCCATAATTTACCGTACATTAATTTACAATGTCTTCAGAGTTCCTCGGGCAAAACCAGGTGTTTGGCCGTATTCTTACTATGTTAACCCCGTTTTCTGCCGGATCAAACGTAATGGTTGTTATTGTATGGTACTGTAGGATCCCATGATATACGCAGGTGTCCATAAATCTTGGAGAGTTCCCACAAAGGACCTGAACCACTGGATACTCTTAGCCGGGCTGTGTCAATATCACAAACATGCACAAGGATGTTTGAAGTTGAAGGAACAGAGATATCAATATCATAGAATTATCTGCAAGCTATATCTACCATCAAGATCTACCATCAAACATCTACCATATATATACAAATATTATCAAATATTAAATTATATTGTATTATATATTATTATATTATATTTTGTTATATTATGTTATATTATATTATATTGTATTATATTATATTATGTTATATTATATTATTTTATATTATATTTTCTTATACTAAAATTATATGTCATTATACTATATCATATTTTATTCTGATATATATATATATATGTATATTCCAGCCTTCCCTATTCTAGGCTCCCCACCTTCGTCAGATCCAGGACCTGAAGAAGAGCGCTCCTCGCGGCACCGCGCGATGCGTCATCCTGGGCACTGTGACGGCCACGGTGAACGGCTCGGAGCTGGGCGGGATGATCCCGCCGCTGGCGCACGTAGGACCCCGGGGATGGGGATGGGGATGATGGGGGTGGGGATGACGGGGATGGGATGGGGATGATGGTTGAAAAATGTGGCTTTGAGATGGTGTCGTTTTTGTTGGGGGTGATTTTTGGAGTGATTTTTCAGGATTTTTTTCGGTTTTTTGGAGTGATTTTGAGATGGATTTAAGTGAAGTTGATGGAACCCTTGATATTCTGAAACAACACCATTTCCATTGTCCAAGTGTGGGAGTAAATCAACCTTGAATCTTGGTGGTGTCTCTGCGGAGTCGTTTCCAGTGGCACAATCATGGGCAATCATGGCTATGTTTGAAAATTAGGAAATTGGCATAAGTTAGCACCCAGTTTATGGCAATGTTGATGGGATGAATGCTGGTTTTTTTAAAATGAATGTGCTGAGGTTTCCAATGATTTTCAAACAAACCTAAAAATCAGCGTGTGTCAAAATAAAAAACCCAGTGCTGACAGACACAAGTCATATTTACTATGAGTTCATTCCGAGGAGTGCCCAGTTACAAAGACTCGGTTGAAGGCAAAAAATGCAGGAGACCATGAGGTTTAACTGGATTTCTACATATTTTTTACCATCAATACATTAAATGACATTGGGAAACCCCAATTTTTCCCACTTTCGGGGACGATTCAACTGCCAGAAATTGATATTTGACGGACAAAACTAGGGTTTTGCCTTGGTTTCCCCACTGCAAAAAACAAGTTTTCCGTGGTTTTCCCAAGGTTTTCGATGTGTTTTTCACTTAATATTTGAGAGAGCAAAAACATGCAAGAACCATCATAGAATTCCCGTAAACCTATCCATTGATACTCCAGCAGCGCCCAAGTTGGGATGCAGAATGGGGTCCCCCGCAGGAAACTTTGAGGGCTTGGAGCAGGGCATGAAGGCGACAAGGGGGGAAACTGGTGGTGATGATGGGATGGAAATGGTCACGACTATCCTCCAGTAAATTCACAGAGACCCTGCCAGTTGTCGGGCTTGGAGGAGGAGTTTCCACTCAACATTGGTGATTTTCAGGGTCGAACTGTGAATTTACCAGAGGGTACTGTGCAACGTTGATATGAGTGTGAATATTGATGATAGGGAAAGAATGTGTGTATGAATGGAATGTTGCTGGAATACCAATAGGGTTAGCATGGGTAATGTGGGAAACCCAATGCCATAAAGCTACCATTTGGGGATGATTGTGACCACCCATTTGTAGTGATATTGGGGATGGTTCAATTCTTGGGTTTACCATGGTTTACCGTGAATCATCCCCTACCCCCCTTTGAAGATATCCTAGAAACCATGGTTTAGCTAGGGGTAAAGTCACATCTTTGAGACGAAATCATATTGTTTCTATGTACTTTCCAGCCCTTCTGAAATTTCCCCACTCTTAGTTTAACTCATTCCCATTTATAAGTGGTTTCAGTTTCGCCCGCCCTAATCTTGTTGCTGAAAAAATCCCTTGAATGGCCGTTATCTATACCATCTGGTTATTTAACATAGCCATGGAAAATCACCATTTTGTAGCTAGGAAAACCATCTATTTCTAAATTCTATGGGCCATCTATACCATGGCTATGTTAAATAACCAGATGGTATCTTAATGATCTCCCCATTTCCACCAGGTTTCATCCCCATGAGGCGCCAGTGACCATGCTGGATGGTGGGGCCTTCGATGGTGCCAAGGCGCATTGCACCTGATTTTGGCACTTAAAATTATGGCTGGTTTTTCATGGGAAAACCATAGGAAAAGATGGGGAAAACCACTATAGATCTTATAAATAGAGGATAATAGAGGTATATAGCTGGGATTGTCATCTTTGAAATGGGGGATTGAAAAAACCAGTGTTGAAATAGTTACCCTCAAAAAGATGCCGAAAAGGTTCAACGTATCACTGTTGTTTGGTTGGATTTTAAAAACGTTGGCATCTTTTTCACGGGGTACCATACATGTCATACATATTCATGGCATGTTTATGCCATGTTTTCATATCATGCCATACCAGATCATATCATCATACGACTAGTTGCTCTTGAGCAACTGCAGAGGTCCAAAATGTTGGACGTGCCCCAAAGAGGAACAACATGGACATGGCGCTACATCAGCTGTTTTGGACATCGTGGACTGATGAATCTGGGAATTGGGTAACTATTTCAACACTGGTTTTTTCAATCCCCCATTTCAAAGATGACAATCCCAGCTATATACCTCTATTATCCTATATTTATAAGATCTATAGTGAACAAGACAAACGGCAAGCTGAAGTGCGCACAAGCTAAACTTCGGTCCGAAATTGCCCAAGTTGAGTGGCCAAGTGTGGGTGGGAGGTTCGTCTAGATCGGCAAAGTTAAGTCCCCAAAGAGTGATTATTCATGCAGATCGTTGTAAGCCACAATAGGAACAGCTATTAGCAGCTATTACTCTCCTCAAACATGGTTTGCTGCAAAACCCCCCATTGAATCAAGATGAGTTTCCGATTTACGAAAACCTCCATTGAGTTCGGGGATGTTGCATAGTTTCCACTAGTTTCCACTAGTTTCCTCGGACTTTCCCATTGAAACCCTCCATGTTTGATGGACTAAAAACCGGGTCAGAGCCAGGCCTACAAAGACAGCAAGGTCTGTGACGTGATGTTGATGAAGGAGCTGCACCGTCGTTTCCACAAGGAGCTGGTGGAGTCTTGTGACCGATGTAGCCAACCTGGTGATGGCAACAGAAATAGCGAACTTGAAGCCATGGCCGCCATGGCCATTGAAATAGTTGATTTACCCGGCCTGGTAAACGTTTACATAACTATGGAAAATCACCATGTTTAATGGGAAAACTCACTATTTCTATGGCCATTTTCAATAGCTATGTTAAATTACCAGAGGGTAGTTGATTTACCCAGCTATACAATGGTGGATCTTTCCATAGTTATGGGATGTTATGGGACAGTTTACCAGAGGCTAATTTAATATGATGTAATGATTGTTGGAAAGCAAAGGAATGATGTGAGCACATGGCATTTGGAATCATCTCGATCTAGACGGACTTTGATGCTGCACAGGAGACATGCGGAAACAGATTGAACAACAAACGCATATTTCTTTCAGGTGCGAAATGTTCTTAGCCTTCAGTAAACTAATATAGCTATAGAAAGTTGCCTGTTTTAGTTGATTATTACCAATTCTATCCTATTCAAATGATGGTTCTCCAGTTCGCCAGTTCTGTTGGAGTTCTAGAGGGCGTGAACCAATATGCAATTAATATCCCATGACGATTCCATTAAGCCCATACCCTCTGGTAAACTAACATAGCTACGGAAAATCACCATTTTTAATGGGAAAACTCACTATAAATGGCCATTTTCAATAGCTATGTTAGTTTACCAGAGGGTATTAACCATGGGACATTAACCATCTGGAACTTATCCATTATATCAATGGGATTTAACTGTTGGCTTATCCATTATTTCCCCATTAACCCCCCAAAATCACCATAACATCTTCCATGTTTGATACTCATAGTTTGCTCGCATGCCTGCCAGGAAACTGGCATTGTCTTTACGTCTCCCGGCATGCGAAGTGCCAATGGGAATGGAATGGATTCTGGGATGGTGAAGAGAAGAAGTTCCACTTTGAAAAACTCAATTTGGAACTGATAGTCAAAGTGGAAGTCACTGATAGTCATCCTACTCAAGTCCTGGTTTCAAATGATAGTCACTGATCCTCAAGTTCTTTCATGAAACTGCAAGATATTCCAGGCAACCAGACTTTTGGGACGGACTGTGTGTACTATATCCCTAAGATGTAATATTTGCCCATCGTTCTATTTTGGTTGATCTTGTCCATGTTCATGATGAAATATGTGTTGAATCCACCCATCCAGTTGGGAATTGGGAATATGTTATCATCCCAACTGTTACTCACTCCATCATTTTTCAGAGGGGTAGGTCAACCAGAAGAAGCAGCTTATATCTGATGATATTTGGGAGTGAAACGACAGTGTCAACTGTAGATGCTTATGGTTTTCCCATGGGATTTGATATGGTCCACCGTGAACCCGCGAAACGAGGTCGTTGTATCCAGGCTGCATCGCAGAAACGGGACTTTTCCGTGAGCACTATCCGGTCTCTTGGCGTTTTAAGGACTGGTGATGGTTATCTTCGATTTGCAAATATCTCAATCTATTAAAGTTAAATAATTGTTAAATATATATATATACTATACTGATATACTGTGTACTGTATATATAATTATACACTATACATTATATATATATATACACATGTACATATTGTGTATATATATATACTCATAGGTCTATATCTATGATTACCCATTATAATCGTATGGTTGGCCCAAGATGTGTGAAAGAAGGCCTAATTTCGCAGAAAATCTGCACCGAGATGAGATTAATCCCACTCATCCCACTCATCCCATCAATCCCAGTAGCTGCTGTAAATTTAGTCCAATTACCCTCTGGTAAACTAACATAGCTATGGAAAATGGCCCATTTATAGATGGTTTACCTATTAAAAATGGTGTTTTTCTAGAGCTATGTTAGTTTACCAGAGGGTAATCCTATTGGTTGTAAACAATGGGGAAAGGAACAGGGACACAAACAAGGTTAGCCACAAATTTTGAGGCCAATTTTCCCAGGTACCGAACACCTGTCAATCAATCAGCCCTGTTGCTGCTTAAATCCCCCAACATAGGGCTGTTGTTTGAGGAGCCCCATGTAACGCCATTATATGTGTATTGATGAATATTAGATACCCCATGATACTCGGATGAATATCACTAAGTCACTAAAATGAACAGAATCCGCGGTTTTAAAACGGCCCCTTTGATTTTGACCCACTGGTCTCCTTGGAGGTCTTCCAAAATCTCTTCCCCGCGTTCCACAAGACGGTCACCAAGGTGGGCCGTGTTCACGTGAAATGTCTGAGATTTGATGAAGGGGAAGTGAATTGAGCCGTGAGCCATGAACAAAATACCCTGGTTTTTAGTGATTGCTATAATAGCGATTATACATGATTATACTACCTGGTGCAAACTGGGGATTATGAACTGAAAAAAAAGGAATTGTCAGATTCGTGCATTGAATGTCATGGAATTATTCCGATTCATTCAATCATACACCATGATCTCAGATCCAACCGATGACATAGCTAAGAGATGCTAATAGGTTGATTACCCAGGACCATAACCCGTCTGATTGGTGGTGTCAAATCTGTCTTATTTTTTGATTTTTTTTGCCTCAGATGATGATTCCAATTGACCAAAGTATCAGAATCCAGATGGGTTGAAACATGTTGAAGCCGCGTTCACCGGTCATGTCATCGCTAAAATTAAGGTGGGAACACCAAAAATAACTCCCCAACAATCGATCATAAACTACCGTCAGGCATCCCGCCGCAGTCAGAAATGTCATGCTTTCCGTATCTTTTTGTCTTTGATCTGCTGAGTCAATGATGATTTTCTCCCAAGAAATCCACTCCTTGGGAAATCGATTGAGGGAATATTTGGGTATGGGTCAAAATTAGGTACCCCAATAATTGGATGGTTAATACTAAACTAGACTAACATCTGTGGTCCCCTAGGTCTTCCATTTTGACCCACATCCATTTGTTGGGAGCCTCCTTGAGCAAATCCAAGTTGTCCTGAAAGTTTCTGTGCCATGACAGACCAGTGGTGATCACTTTGTGTGCCCTTGGTCAACTTGCCTCAACGAGGCCTATGTGAGCCAAGAGGAAGCCGGAAAACGCCACTTGGATCCACTTGGTATCCACCATCACGATGTTAACAGAGTTCTTATTTGGTGATGGATCGAATATGATCAGTTTATATGAGCAGTTTATCCATAGGTTTGGTAGTTCTTCCGATCCATAAACCCACCTTATTGGGTGATTTCACCATGCTTTGAATGTGTTTCTCCCTTCTGCTTCTGGATAAGTGTCATACTTCAAGGTGAGTTTTGTCCATATCCAGAGATATGATTAATTCATATTAATTAACCCTAACGTCGTATGCATATACTCCATGGAATTCTGATAGCTATCAAGTTCACGTTTACAAATTCGGAAATCTTCCTGGATTTTCCAAGATGTTCCTGGATTTTCCAGCATTTTCCAAGGTCTACAGGCCGGATTCCCCGGCAGTTGCGGCTCAGGTTTGGCCGCCGTGGTTGCCGACGACCGCTATGGCACCAGCGGCAGCTACTATTCCTGGGAGGGCGAGGCACGCGGGGAGGAAGCTGCTTCAACGATTCTGCCAGAATTGTTTGAAGGGAACATTTATCCTCTGGTAAATTAACATAGACCCTGAAAATCACCCATTTTTAATGGAAACTAATCTTCCAACCCCGACAACTGCCAGGGTCTATGTTAATTTACTGGAGGGTAAATGAAAACCCCAAGCTCCAAGAAAATTGAGACAAACCAATCCATCTTTCAACGGATGATTTGCGTTTGAAACCTTGTTTTTCCCATTGGAAACGGGTGGTTTCCTGTAAACATTCCCTTTAACATTCTTTAACCAATCCATTCAGATTACCAACTTTGTTCAAATTCTTAGAAAAAATGCCGACCTAAGATGAGTTTCCAGTACTACACTGTATCTACATGTATCTACATCATTCTACATCATCTGGTTGTATATATGAAGATGAAAGCAAAACTGCGATCGTATATGATCACATGGTTTCATGGACATGCGCTCACGAGCTTCTGGCTACGAAACCGCTTACTTCGGATCTTCGGCATCAGCGAGTCGTTCCCTGAATGTTGGGGTTCTTGGGAAATCATGTGACTTTCCCCGGAGCTTCAGAACGAATCCGTGTTGAACATAAAGGATGTTCTCACCCTCATTCAGAACAACTTCAGCAGTGGCTTCAACTGGTTGGAGATGAAAGCAATTGAATCATAGAGATGCTGCGGTGTGTAGGAAACTTACAGTAGTCTCTTAGTAGGTCCTCTTCAGCGCAGACTTCAACCTTCCACATTGAGCCACATCATTGTCTCATTGAATCATGTTTACAGGTTTGGGTATTGAATTGAGTTCGAAATTTAAACTGATTGACGGTGATGTATTCATTTTGGTGCTTTGGAACAGAGATGGTTTGACAGTTTGACATGGCAGAGTGGAAAGTGCCAGGAGACCTTCCCCTTTCCTCCAGCTTCCCTTCTTACTTGGCTTGTTGGGGTCTTTCCATGTCTTTCGCATGTTCAATTAAAGTAGGGTTGCAAACTGTTGCAGACACTTTGCGGATCTGGTTTCGTGGCCTTAAATTTCCGTAGATCCGTGTCGTTGCTCGGTAAAACGGTAGAACCGTGATTGAGTAGCTCAGTTGTTTCATGCTTTGCCACACAATGGATGGGGAAAAATATTACCGTACTCAAAATTGGCCATGGTTGGAAGGCAGGTACTGCCACGATGTTTTGGTTTTTCGGTATTTTCCCTACTTGGGATGATTTACTTACTTGGCCGGGTGTCCTCATCATTATCTCATCCCATTAGCCTCTGGTAAACTGTCCCATAACTATGAAAAATCACCAGTTTTCATGGGTAAAATCCACTACAAATGGCAATTTTCAATAGCAAACTGTTTGCTTACTGGAGGGTATATCCCAGTTGTCATAACATCCCCAATAGTTCGTTGATAATTATTGCTTGTGCTTACAATGATTATATCGGTTTATATTGGGAATATATCACGACATTTTTGTATCATAGTAGAATACAGTGGATCCGAATTACTGTTCCAGATCCATCCATATACAACAGTAGGGCGATACAATAATTACAAAATTATCATGGTATTATACCACAATATTGATCCTCCTTCAAATTTTAGCTACGTAAAGGGGAGGACTTGGGCTACAGTACAGAATGCCAGCCAGGGGTCGTTTTGTACAAAAAGGAGGAGCTGGGACCACCTTTTTGTATTTGCATTCATTTTGTAGTTGATTCCTTTCAAATCCTCATTTGCATTTTGTAGTTGTATATTTTGAAGTGAGAAGAGGTGGAAAAAAGGAAACAGTGCGTGACATGTACATGGACACAAACAGATCATGAAGCTACAGAATGCCATCTAACAAACTGCACGGGGTCAACACTTGATCCAACTAAATTCAATCATTGACAACTACAAAATGTTCTCCGAAATTGCGTTGGTCGGAACTTTGGATGGCATAGAACCAACTACAAAATGTCATTGGGAAAAATCATGCTAGCAATTCCGATTTTCAGCTATTTTTTAACTTCAGATGCATTGGATTTTGTAGTGCTGATTTTGAATTATTTTCCGAGTCAGAAAAGGTTTTGTTCTGTATGTTGTAGCTGCAAAAAAGGTAACATGCACTGAATTTTGTAATTGCACACCGTATGCATTGCGTTTTGTATCTACCAAAAGCCTCTGCACAACTCCCCCCCCTTATCTGAACCCTGATCAATATTGTATATCACTACGATAACTATACTGTCATAAACCATCCGTACTACCATGATAGGAGTGCACAATGTCACAATCATATGATACTATTATACTATATTTTATGGTTGGCCACGATATTGATACCATTAAAACACTAGCAAGTTAGGATTAGTGATTTGATCCTCCAAGTCACTATCACTATATAACTAACACTACAAAAGTAAGTGTGTATATATATATAACTAACTATACGTATAATATGACTATTTAGCTTGTTTGTTGACTATGATTGACTATCACTCACTAAGCCTGACTCTTCCCAAGATGATTCAAGATGATTTAACCATAACCATCCTATAAGTTACTGTAACTGACTATTCCGGCCACTGATTTACCTATGCGCCAGGCCGGGACCGGCGGCGGCGGTGGCCAAGATGCCGTGAGCAACACGGATAAGGCGCGGAGCGGTGTGAGCCTGGGGCTTTTTCGATGAAAATGCGCGTGTTTTTAAGGGGATTTCAATGGAAACTAAGGGAAAAATCATCATGTTCATGGAAAAATCAGCATTTTGATGGGATTTGAATGGGAAGATGGTACGGAAATCGATGGAAAATCACCATGTTCATGGGCAAAGGATGTTTTTTTGAGGGGAAAACAAGTGGATTGGCAGCAGACAAATTGGAATGGGATTTCAATGGAAAAATTCTTGAAAATCACCATTTGAATAAGAACATGATCAGAAATGTTGTGTCTTTTTAATGGGATTTCAATGGGATTTAACCAACCAAAATGAGAGTTTTTAGTGTGTATTTTCATGTTCTGTATATCTGTGGGTATGCCATCCGTTGACAATGGGAAAAACTATGAAGGTGTCAACCAAGATGCTTTATCAACCAGACAATTAAGTAAACCTTGATTACGGGTACCAGACAATGCGGTTTATTTCTGTGCCATATTGATGGGAAAGTTGCGGTCTTAGCCAGCATTTTAGTTTTTCGCATCCAAGATTGGCCATGACATTCATTCGGCGGAGTTTACCAACCAGAAAGGCAACATTCTCTGGGGATTTGTATCCAAAAAGCTACGGGAGTTTTACCAACCAGATCAAACCAGAAATGGGACTTTGATCCAGAACAATCGTGGTGATTTTATATACAATAATTAGCCATTCTATATAATCCAGTAAACATATGGATAATTTACTGTAAACTATGGTGTAAATCATATAGATTATGGATTATATACAATATTATCCACTGAAAAAACCATACACCTCCCGCGACACTCCTTTGGATCGCCAACTTCTTCCCCAACATGTCTGGCCAAAGTCCCGAAAAGTCAGGACTTCGTCGATTTCTCCCCAATTTAGCTACATCAAATCAGCTCTTCATCCCCAAAATCCTCATGTTTCTTGGGTTAAATCATGAGTTTACAAACATGTTCAAACATGGCGTCCGATGGCTTCAAGCCGCTTTCGATCACCATGGATTTTTCGCAAAAAGCCGCGGAAATTCAACGCCACGCGGTTCCCGTGGCGGACCTCGGTTGAGGACTTCGATTGGTTCATGAACTACGGCAGCTTCCGCACCCTAAGCATCGACGAGATCGGCGGAGAAGCGGGCGACGACCAGCGCTGCAGCGGCTCGGTCTTTTTGTTGGCGCGATGGGACAAGGATGGGTCCCGGGTGGGGGAAAGGGAATAAACATTACATGGTAATAATCCATAATATATATATATCCATAGTCCATGATATCATAATACTGTAATATATGTATAATTATATATATATATGTACGGTAATAATCCATAATATTAATAATAGTAATGAATAATAATAATAATAGTAGTAATAGTAGTAATAGTAATAATAGTAGTAATAATAATAATAATAATAATAGTAATAATCCACAATAGTAAGTCATATTTGGATGGTAATGGATCTATAATAGAAATAACCCATCCAGGTAATGGTAGGTTATATTACTATGATTCCATTTTACTAGTATATATCTATATAGATCTATTATGAATTTCAGTGATGGATCTATAATAGCTATTATGATAGATCTATAATGATGAATAATGGTGATATAATCCAGGTAATAGTAATAGATCTATCATAGTAATGGTAAGTATAATAGTAATGGATTATGGAAAAGTTATATCTATAATGGAAATGGAATTAGACCATGACGTAATTATGATGGATATATATAGAATAATAATTACTACAGTGATAGATATAGATATATTAATGGATATAAATTGGATGGATATATTAACAGCATGATGGAATAATTGTACAGTAGTGGTAATATTACTAATATCTATAATAGTACTCAATGTGGTGTTGATTCATACTAATGTTAACCCCAGATAAATAAACCCTCAATTGATATTATAGAAGTAATTATGTGGACCGTTCCCAAAATGGTCATATGTTCCTTTATAAAATGGTACCCCTCTCCAATTAGTAAATTAGGGTTTTTCTTATTACTACAGTAGTGGTAATGTATCAATGTATCATACAATTGATGTAACAATGGTGCATCCATAATGGATGGATGAATTGTGATAAAAATAGTAATCATCATACTGTCTTGCAAAAAGATAAAAATGTAGCTATAATATCAATGAAGAGCGATGTGTTCATTATGATGTTGATGAATTGTGTTTAGGTTCAATGAGTGGAATTTGAACGGTACTTGTATTATGTATACCGCCAAGTGTGGGTATGTCTGAAAATGATGCCCCCAAATGGCCATCATAGGGAGAAGAATGATTAGTTCAGACAAACCCATGTGTCTATGGTCTTCTATAGTAAGAATTGTTTTACAAATTATAGTGAGAATAGTATTGAAAAAATGAAGATGATCTATGATAATGAATGTTGGTAAACTAAATAATAATAATGTTATAAGTTGTAGAAACAAAAATCAATAACAATACTGTATCCATAGTGGAGGGATGAATGGCAACAACGGTAGTAATCATGATGTCATCATGATACTATCTGGTAGAAAGAGTAACATATCTCATGGGTGATTAATTAAACGACCATTTTATACAGATCAATGTCCAACAAGCCCAAATCAATGGCAATCTCTTATGGTGATGTTTTCACTATGATGTTGATGGCGTGTCACTATGATCATGGGATGTTGAATGCGGTTTCAACTCATGACGCTGATGACCACTGGACTATGCAACTCCAGAGCACAAGACGGGAGCAGCGATCTCTTCAAACATGCCAACTGTCTTCGCAATGGAGACCGCCATGCGTTTTGACGATGATACTCTTCGATCCATATTGGCAAAAATGCGAACGCCTGGCGGCGAAAAGTTGTCCGAAAATCAGTGGGCAGCATTGGAATCAACAAAGATTGAAAATCATTCTGCCAATCCAGCCTGGCTGCAAGACGCATGTGATTTTTACCACAGCTGTTACCTGTGGTCAATTGTCACCATGATTGCATACTTGAAAGCACGTGAATCGGCAACGCGAGCAAATTGTCCACTGTTTCTGATCCAGGCGGTCGACAGACCAACCAAAACAGCACTGCGAGAGCATTACGTTGCGGATTACAACGTTTGTTTTGGAAAAAATCGTAAAATAGGTGGAAAAAAGCTTCCAATGTATGGCAAGTTTGAGGAAAAATCCTCGTTAGATGGTCTCCTTTGTGGATATAATGGTGTTGTATGAACAACAAAGTTGGTGGCTTGCCTGGGTTTTCAGGAGTTTTGGAAATGCTTAAAATGGCGTTGTTCAGAAATCGGGCATCCCATGATAATTAGCCCAATAAAAAATACGGTTAAATGGTGCATTTTTGGATGCGACAGGTGTAGGAACGGGATGGAACGGGATGGAACGGGATACAGAAACGGTGAAAAAACCCATCCACTAAAGTCACTAGCAATGGAAAAGTCACCGTTGTTGACCTGAAAATGAGGATGTTCCTCTTGAAATCGAGAGGTCCAGCAGAACGGAGATATTTGTTTTTTTTTACCAACAACGCGTTTGTTTAGCCTTCGAAACAGATTTTTTTTTTTGCCTTTGGGGTGGAAATCTTGCCATCCAAAATATCTCCAGAAGTACCCTCTGGTAAACTAACATAGCTATTGAAAATGGCCATTTATAGTGGAATTGCCCATTAAAATTGTGATTTTCCATAGTTACGTTAGTTTACCAGAGGGTATATTGATAGTTTGAATTGCAACGGATGTTGTCTTCATCTGAATTCATGGAATGACAATCTATTGACAATTGTTGTTAGTGGTATCATGAGTAGAGTATCAGGTGACCGATGGATACCGTAATATTGGAATTCATCCCTCAAAAAATGTATTTACCCTTTAAATGGAGATGTCACTAGTCATAATAGGGATATAACGGGAGACAATGAGATACAATGGGGGTATATGGTTCAAAATTTGAAATCTGGGTCATGTTTGCTGGTTGAGATAAGCATCAGAAACTTGGATGGTGTTAATGAAGTTTTCTACTTCAAAGCCCTTCTCGGGTTGATGCCTTCTGGTTTCTATTTCAATGCTACATCTACCCATCCCGGAGAATGTTCGTCGAGGGAAGCCCATGGAATTTTCTCGGTTGAAATTGAAAGAAATCGCTGTTGGGATCTGCACATTTTCCCGGAAAACCGATGAATTCAATCTGCCCGTGTGCTGCCCTTTTTTGGGTGTTTGTTTCCTATGCTCCTATGCAGGATGTCCATCAACCCTTGGCAACTGCAAAGCCATGAAACAGCGGGAGTTAACCATGATTTTCTGAATCAAACATTGTGGCATTTGAAATTTGAATTCTCCATAAAACATTCCAAAACTATTCAGAACCTATTGTTGATATTTGTTTTGCGTCCGTTTTTTTGCGTCCCAAGACCCAAGAATTGGAAGCTCTAGTCCTACAAAACATTCGATCCCTTTTAAAATCTCAGCGTCAAATTCCACTGAGGCAAGCTCTGGGAACTTTCGGAGAAGTTGGTGGCATGAGCAGACATCCAGGCGCACGGCGCAAGATACGCCGGCCTGCTTGGAAAGATGGAATGGGTGTTTAGCGAAATAATTGGGTCGTGGGGTGTCGTATGTTCTCGTGAGCTCTCTAAGGAACCCCTAAATCTAAATGGGTTGATGTGTTAGATCTCCTCAAATCCTCTAATTTCAGCCAATGAAGCATCAATCAACCACTATATCCCCATATTTTGGGGCCGTTAAACGCTGCATTCAACGCTAGGGTTACGTCCCAAATGTTCAGCAGAGGGTGAAGACACCCCTCTCGACCCAAAGTTGACTCAGCCGTGGAAATCTTTTTATAACTGGCGACATGGAGCAAGCGTCACAAACAGGAAGCAACGCTGCAAATTGCCAAGGAAACAAGATGAAAAAAGTGTGTTCAATTCGAACTAGTTGATTGGGATCAGTGTGACATTGCACATTTTGAAGTATTTTGCCTTTATTTTTAGATGTACCAGTGTTTTTTGTTTTGACCATTTTGACCCCGGTGGTTTTGACCATTTGTGGGATCATTTTCAGTGACGCCATTAAGGACGCTGAAACCGCCATTCTCTGTGAGGCAATGTCCAAAGATGGGTCAAAATTCCATTTTGGATCATATGAGCAATTCGATCTATGTGTAGTGATACATGCATGTATACATTATATATGTCATTATATGTCTATACATACGTATATACATATACATATATATGTGATTGATATATATATATATATGTGAGATATACAGTATGTATATATGATATATACATGTATATATATATATATGTATATATATATATGATTATATATGTATGTATATGATATATATCATATATATATATCATATCATTTATATATATTATAATTGATATGATATATATATATATAACATTGTATGTCTATAATAATAGATGATGTGCATGCAACATGTGTATATTATCCAATATTCAGCAACAATTTCTACGGCATGGCATGTGAACATTCTGCTTGTGCGCTTCCACGTCGCCACCGTCCACGGAAATTCACTGCATGTGAGAGCCGCGGTGCTCCCGGCCGCCCACTGGATTCGCTGGTGGTGTAGCCCTGTTTCAAGTCACGTAGCGAGCCCAAACTTCAAATATATATATATGTATTCTGCACGCAATAGAAAACTACTAATAGAAACATTTTGATAGGACTAATATTAGGCAGTATATACTAATGTAGCAACTATTGGAATTTCAAAAGCTCAACTTGGTTGGAGACTCGCTGTTTGTGTCAAAGTTTTGATATCTTTCTATAGCTTCCAAAACTCTTTGCACAGAGGTCTCTTTGATGACCTTTGCCGCCAGCCGCGCGCGCTCCAGCACTGCGCTGTGCTGTTTTTTAAAAGCGGTGGAAGATTGGCCTTCAGGGGCCGGTCGATGGCTTAACGGCCACCGACAAGCACACGAATCTATGTCGGCAATCTGCTGATGGTTTCTGCTATGGCAGTGAAATCGACATTGGCGCAGCTTGTACGTCTTGGCCGTGTTGCATTTGCACAACCACCGAGCAGGAGAAATGAAATTTGCCTGATTAATATTTGATAATTTTTATTTTTTGGGATTTGAAATGATTTGAATAATATATAATATTATATTTTCTTATATCATATTGATAAATATTGACGTGTTATATGTCTTTTATATATTATTATTATTATTATTATATATATATGAAGAAATAAATAAGAATATTATAATATAGAATAATATTAAATTTTGAAGAAAAATAATAATAATAAAGAATAATAAGATAAAAATAAAATATTAATTAATATGATGAATAATGGAATTTGAATTGATAATTTATAAATAATAAAAATTAATAATAATAATAGTATAATTTTGATGAATGAATATATATATATAGGAAAAATAAGAATTTAAAAAAATATATAAATTTAAAAAAAAAAATGAAATTGAAATTATTATTTATAATATGGTTTTTAATAATATACATATTTGTGTTTTAATTGTATTTGTTTAAAAATATATTTATTTGGAAAAAAATATAATTATTTTTTATAAAAATATATATATTATATTATTGTGTATAATTAATTTATATATATATATATTGTTTTTTATTTAATTATTGATTTTATTAAATTGAATTATATATAAAATATTTAATTTAAAATTGTATTTATTTAGAAAAAAAATAATTTTAGAAAAATATAATTATATGGAAAAATTTATGTTTTAATT